ATATATATATATATATATATATATATATATATATATTAGTATATATATTATATATATTATAGTATATATATACATATATATATAGTTTATTTTTATATAAGAACTAGACTTTTCTGTCATAATTATTGATCTAGAGTATTACTATTAACTGTTAGATTTCACAAGAAATTTATCTAAGATTTTAACATTTATTATCTTTGCAGAACGCGTTATAGAGATATCAGTTTAATATTGCTGAAATATCTAATACTTAAAGTAATAACGCTTTTAATTGTTTGCATCTCTATTGAATCAACTGAGATATAGAAGTACGATCTTATTATAAGTGTTATTTTTGTTCTGCATCTTAGATTTGGAACATAATAGCTTTACATATAATCACAGATTTTCAGCGTGATAAAAATTAATATCTATTTTATAATAGTTTACATTTATCGTACAATGTTTCGAATTCATTTTTGTCTTTTTTGTATATACGTATCGTAAACAAGATTAAAAACTGAACTTAACATCGTAAAATAAAATAGTTAAATTTGTAACGCATCTATAAAAAAAATAATAATAAATAAATAAATATATATATATATATATATATATATTATATATAATAGTTTACATTTATCGTACAATGTTTCGAATTTGTTTTTGTCTTTTTTGTATATAAGTATCGTAAACAAGATTAAAAACTGAACTTAACATCGTAAAATAAAATGGTTGAATTTGCAACGCATCTATAAAAAAAATAATAATAAATAAATATAAATATATATATATATATATATATATATATATATATATATATATATATAATATATTGCAAACAATTAAAAGCGTTATCACTTTAAGTATTAGAATATTAGATATTTCAGCAATATTAAACTGATATCTCTATAACGCGTTCTGCAAAGATAATAAATGTTAAAATCTTAGATAAATTCCTTGTGAAATCTAACAATTAATAATAATACTCTAGATCAATTATGACAAAAAAGTCTAGTTCTTATATAAAAATAAACTAACATCTTTTTAGGTAAGTTTAAGCTATTAAACATGTGTGATATATACATATAATTTTAACGCGATGTGAGTTCATAAGATATTTAAATACATTGCATATACACTCGCGTACGCTCAAGTAAAGAGAGAATGAAAGATTAAAATTCTCTATAGAATTTTTTTAGTAAAAAAGATGTCTTTTTATATATGCTTTATCTATCGTATCGAGATCTTTAAAACTGAAGAACAATGACTTCTGTTAAATTATTTTCATTATTCTTTTTCACCAATTACCGTAAAATTTTTAAAAAATGTCTGTCGTAGCATCATTTTATAGATGTGTATTTGTTTAAAATTTCATTACATAGGTTTTACGTTAACACAATTTATTTCTCTATTACTAGCTGATGGAAAGCTATAACATAAATATATAAATATGTACATACCTTTTTTATGTTCTATCATATTGTAATCTTGACATTGTTTTACATAATATCGTATTCTAGATTAAAAGTTCTATCTGGTAGTACAATAGCAATGAGAGCAACGAGAATAAACGGAACACTGTCGAAGAAGCAAATGACTTACACAAATGTCTCTTTGATTTTTATATACATCGTCTCCATTATTTTCTTCCATCAATCATATTTGATTCTTTACTTTATCGAAATTTTGCGGGAATTCCGCTTGGATTTTCCTCAGGTATCTCGATAAAATATATAAAGTTCATATTATCGAAGATAATCAGCTATTGATATTGATTTATAAAGATTTCTGTGAAGATGTGATGTTTTTTATACCTACTTTGTTGTAGAATAATGATCGTAATCAGATAAAATCAGTATGAAACATTTATCCATCGAGATAATCCATCATTACTGATTTATTGTTGTTGAAAGAATATTTACTTATTTATTATTAAGACAGATTCTTTTAATATCTGATTTGCAGAGGTAGATTACAATTTAAACAATATATAAAGAATGTAAATTATAAATATGTAAAGAATAATAAATGAAAAGAAATATTAAATTTATAATTTAATATTTATAATTTAAATTTATCTATGTATTTTACGTTTATGATTCTTTTGTTCTCTGTTAAATGCAGTCTTGTGTGTGTGTTGTTATTGTGTATGTGGGTTGTGTATATGTGTTGCAAGTCACTGAATATTATTAAATAAATCATGAAACTATATAATATAATCAATCATTATTGTAATATACTTTCGATAATGTTAATCTTCTATATATTTCTTAACACTTCTTTTAATAGGTGTTTTCTCATATTAGTTAATAACGATAGGTTTTTATATGCTAATAAGAAGAAACTTCGAATGCGAGATATAAATGAACAACATTTTTCCTTTATAAAAGCATTCCTTACATTTTATGCATTATATAATATCAACATCGACTAGTTTTGTAAGAGTTATTTTTACTGCATAACTCGTGCAAATCTTGTTACATCGCTTTATAAGGAGTATGCAACTATTATGTTTTATAAACTTCGTCTAGATCCAGCACGCAATCTAATTTAACGTTAACCTAAATATGATCAAATTAAAAAAAAAAATTAGTTTCAATAAAGATAACGTAGATCTTTAATGAAGTCTCCCCTTATCTTAGTCTATCGTGGATTACAATGGATTATCATGTAGCGTCATCATCGATATCTTGCGTACGTACTTGGCAAAAGGAGTATAAAACGCAAGTCGAATATCGGTTCTCATCAAACATCAACATGTCTCCCAAAGTAATCGTACTCTTTGCTCTTCTGGCAGTGGCATTCGCCGGTAAGTCAATTTTTCATATTTACGTTATCAACTACATTTACCACAGTACGAGCCGACTAAGTCAGCCGATCTTAACTGAAAAGTGCTCAATAAAATCAAATAAAATTCTCTCTGTGTTGTTAAGGAAAATTTTATCGATTAAATAATCACGTTGCTTCAATGAATCTCAAAACAAAAAAAATTCGATTTCGTCTTATGTTACAAATTGTATTGTTCAAAACTTTTTTAATTTTAAATCCATCACTATTTTCTTAATTTCTTTAAGTGGAATCTCACTCGAAACGAATGAAAAGTGGCAGTATTTTTAGTCGAAACAATAGTGAAGATACCGTTACACGAAATCATACGAGTTTTATTCAAACTTAACGTGTACTTTGACTCCATACGAGCGGATGTTTTAATCGATTAGAGTGAATCGATGATGATAGAGTACGTACATCAGATTCACTCCTCAATTTCGAATAAAAATATTTCCTCGGTAATTCAGAATGGAGTGGAGAATTTATTTTATATGAGTGAAAAATAGTGTGGCTTAGTGATTACTCTATTTTTCGAATGAAATTTTACTATTCCTGAAGATTCCTGGAGATATCTCTTAAGAGAAATCTTTCATCGATATATCGTCACGAATATTGTCATAACGCAAATATTAATTTATATTTCAGAGAAACCGCATCTCGGTTTTCGTATACCACAATTTGATATGACCCAAGTGGTCGGAGGCGAGGAAGCTCCGGCACATGAATATTCGTTTATTGTATCTCTACAATGGGGTAAGGACGAAGATACTCTGTCCCACTTTTGTGCCGGATCCATTGTGAATAACAAAATCATAGTAACTGCTGGACACTGCGTTCATGCAGTTCCAGACGACGGCCTTTTTGCCATCAAAGCTGGGAAACACGACATTAACAGTCGTGAGACTGGTGAACAGATGATCAAAGTCAAAAACGCCGTCGTGCACGAGAACTATCAAGGGTATGTAATATCGAAAAATATCGAACGAAACAAGTACATAAAATGAAGAATTCAACTCGCTTCTTATTTGAAGTAATATTTACATATATAAATATTACTTATGTCTTTGCTAGTTTATAATTGCATATAATATTACAAAATAACAGCTCTTGGATCAATGACATGTGCACTGCTGTTGTGACATTTTCATGTTTAATACAGTTGTCTAAATCACACAGAGAAAATATTGTAATAAAAATTACAACAAAACTTTATAATCTTGAATCATACAAAATTACGACTGAAATTATTATTTGTTGAAAAATGTTATACGCGTTTTTACTACAAAATTATTGTAAATACTTGAATGTTTTTTATATCCTATTACGTAAATCGTCAAATTTACTATTTCTATAGCAATTTGTACTACTATTTCGGTATAGTACAGCTTTACTAAAAACATTGTAAAAAAAAATAATTTTTATATAATTTTTATTACAATATTTTTTCCGTATGCTAATATATACACTACATTAGATATAGTGATAGCGAGGTTGTATCAGTTGAGACTTAAGAATGTTTTCATTAGAAAAATTATCTAAGTTTCAGATAAGCGCAATATTGCGCACAAACTGGCATAATATCCTAAACGTTTATTAAGCCTAGTTATGAACGAATTTTTAAGTGTAATGTGTGTACATATTTATGCATTATAACTGTTGATTATTTTGAGGAAGCGACTCCATCGGAATAATCAACAGTCATGATACACGAATATGCACACACATTGCGCGTAATTAAGAAATTCTTTTAAGACTTGAGGTTTAGTAGATATTCAAAGCTATTATGTCGGATAATATACACAATAGTTTTTTAAATTCTCTATTATTTCTCAAGATATTGCTGCAACTGCGCACCTCAAATATAATTTTTCCGCTAATACTACTATTCCAACTTTCACGAACTTTCATACACAGTTTAATATCTATTATCCAATATTTATGAATCCTCAGTGGTGTTGGACCCTATGATATCGCCGTCCTCGAACTCGAATCTGAATTGAAATTCAACGACAATATTCAACCGATCGATCTGCCGGAAGAGGGAAGCAAACCCAGTGGAACTCCGATTCTTTGCGGATGGGGCTCCACCTCGCGAAGCAGCATACCATCTTACCCAAGCAAACTTCAACATGTGAAGATGGTGTACGTCAATATCCCAGACTGCGATGCTGCCGTCAAGAGACTGACAGGATCGTCTCCCGTCCACGAAACCAATGTTTGCACTGGCCCACTGAGCGGTGGAATCTCCGCGTGCAGCGTAAGTCGCGAACTTCCAATCAATTACGACAGCAGTATTGTCACTTTCGTTGCCTACTAGTTAAGGTAATTTAACGCATCGATTGACTTTCAGGGTGATTCTGGTGGCCCTCTATTCGAAATTACCTCAAAAGGTCCGGTACTCACTGGCATTGTGTCTTGGGGCATTATTCCGTGCGGCACCACTGGTGCGCCATCTGTCTACGGTGGAGTAAGCAACTTCACTCCCTGGATCATTGAACAAGCGGCAAAGTAACTAATATAAGAATTGAATTGTGTGTGGAGAGAGACTGTGTGGTCAATGTGTACAACGATGACGAAATACTGTATACTTTTTAGCGCAAATCTAATATGTGAGATTACAAGCGACAAATAAACGACATTACACACTTCAACCTTTGCATTACATCACTTATTCTTGACGTTAAAATTAATCAAAACGCAGTAATCAAAATGAAATTAAATAAACAATGAAGAAAGATTGCTATTTAAGATTAATATTTACGATATGATGATTTTATTTCATAAATAATAAAGTCACGCACATATTGCTGTCAAGGACAGTTGATTATATATACGTGGATATATTACAGTAAAAAATAAAAGAAATTGTTGAATTATGTCGCCAAAGCTATTGGAGTCGTGGCAAGCATTATTTATAAAATAATTAGATGACTCGGCGACTTCGCTGATATGATACAATATATGTTTTAACACATACGATCGTATAAACGTTGAGATAATGGCGAAATAAACGCCATTCTGGAATTCGGCCAACTAACAACAATAAAGATAAATAATCGCAGCGAAGAAACAACTTCTTGAAAAATAACTAAGATCATACGGCACTGTTGATATTAAATAGAAGTCGACAAACTTATATGATATATCGTTTTACAGTTGCTCACGAAATATTTGATGTGCCTTACATACAAAGCAATTTTGTGGACATACATTGTCTCAAAAAAAGACGTATCGTAATTTAAAAAAGAATTCCTCTCTGAACAATTGTATACTTCGAGGAAATTATATTTGTGTTTTGGTATCCAAATTGTTATTATATTACGGGAGTATATAAATGATAATAATAATAATACTTTGGATTTCGGTATTATGATTTTTCGGGAAATTGTCCCAGTTTTCGAATTTTGAGATTTTGATTTTTCAAGACAATGCATGTCCTCCAGTAATTTGATCCATAAATACACTCGCGCAATAAATCTCCTAGCGGATATAATTTTAAGTAAAATAAGAATTGCTCGAATTTTCTTCAGTCGAATTTTTCTTCAGTCGTGGATCGACTAACAGCTACAACTTCTTGCAAGCTTCCGTAATTACTTCCACCGCGGCGAGCGCTTCTTTGGCAGTAGGAATAATATAACGCGCTGGCAAAATAAAACCGTGTTTGCCGGTGTCTCTCAATTCAATAGTGTACGTATACTTGATTTTGAGCAAAGCTTTCGCCCAGTCGTCTGAGCCTCCGCTAGCCGCGTACAGCAACGAAGCGCTGTTTCCAACGGTATACACACTTCCAGCACCTCCTGCCATTTTCATGGCTGTTGCTGCTTTGCGACCGATTGTGTCAAGGTCAGCATAATCCGGCGGTACACGCTGATCGTAGCCCCACGGGTACAAAATGTATTGCCCATAAGAATGATAGCTCAAATACGCCTGCCGGGAAAATGTTGGGATGTCATGTTTAAATACGAAACATTTAGAAGTTTAAAAGTAATAGTGTATAGACTCTATAATGTTGAGACAATGACGAAGGTAACAAAAGACAGTAAAATCCAAGGCACGAATATTAGAGTACAACCACAAATGATTTTTTATACATAGTCTAAATATATTACACTTTGTACTTTGATGCGAGCGACTTGTTTGCATTTTATTATTGTAACATTACACACCACTGAGGAGGGCCATTTGTGATCGAAACGCATTTGGTAGTCAATGTATTCCGTATTTAGACTATGTATAAAAAATCATTTGTGGTTGCACTCTAATATCCGTACCTTGGCTCTTACTGCCTTTTGCTACCTTCTTCATTTAAAAGTTTGATCTTGTCTTTGAGATTTTTGAAGTATGCAATTAAAATAGGACACGCTCTATATATGTATATAGTATATATAACATATATAGAGAGTGTATATATAGAGGTATTTCATTTTAAATAGCCAAATATCTCGAAAACTGAGCCCGGCAAACAAAAATGTTTCAAACAAAATTTATAAAGTTTCAGAGGATAAGAAAGAAAAAACAAATTAGAATAGACATCTCAACCGACCTTGAAATTCGCCGAGCTAGCCTCGAAGAAGTTCCGGATAGCATCGGTTTCTGGCTCGGAAAAGGGTGCGGCGCCCGAGTATATTTCACGGCACACGTCCTTGCTCGTGCCCTTTCCGCCCCAACGATAACCGAAATTCCGATTCAAGTCAACGCCTGAGCAATAACCGGCCTTCCTTCTGTTCTTCCTCCAGAGACGATCGGTGACGAAAGTATACTCGTATCCGTCCGGATTGGCCACCGGCAATATATAGTAGTCCACATCCAGGTTCTCGTTATTCTCCACCAAATAATCGATTATATAAGTGACTGATGCGGGTGAAATCCATTCACGGGCGTGAATCCCGCCATCGATCCAGATCGCCGGCGCGTTCGGCTTGCCATTACTGATCCTTAAAACCTTAACATTTATAGAACAATTTTGAACTTTCAATTGACGTGGAAATATAATCCCCGAAATGATACTTGCAATATTGTCTTGGTAGAAATAGAAGGCAATTTTTAGTAGTTACTAGAGTTATGTTAACTTCTTTCTCTCTAATAATTTAAAAAGAAAACTATTTGGCTCTTCAATTAAGATGTAATGCTTTTCCTGCAGTTACTGCACACGAAAGATGCATAAAATCTGAATTTACTGAATAAAAAAGAACAGAAAATGAACAAAAAATATTAAATAATATTCGAAATAATATTCAATTGATAATCAAGTCTACTGCTCATCAAATGGACAGATTCGCTCTAGTAGTATTTTATTTTTTGTGCTTGCTTCCTAAATGAAAATTTTAGCACTAATGATAGTGAAGAAAATCTTTGATGCTTATATATTTTTATGTTTTCTTTTATATCAAATTACATACGTCCTTTTATTCATTCTTGTGGTTGAGCTATTTCATTAGGTTTTGATTCTGAATTATTATGACGTTTTCATTAATATATAATACTCAGTGTTTATATAACAAAGGAATAGATTAATATTAAACTATAACTGGAAGAATGTCTACGCAAACTGCATATATTTTTACCAGAATAGCAATACTAGCAGAACATCAATATTGATACCTTCAGCGGGCGACCTTCGATGGAATGACCGATAGTCATGACGGAACAAAGATCGGGATAAGTCTCCGCGAGGTAATCCAGGAAACCGTAAATATCTTCCAGGCGATGATAACTAGTCCATTCCATTCTGTGACCTGGCGGGTATACCTTGAAAATTACTCAAAGGTTGCACCTTGCGTGCCCTCATGCGATTGTTTAACAACCGCTCCGTAGATTCAGATCAAGTACAAAATAAGGCACAAAGCCGACTGTTTTACTCCTCAACTATCGTATCACGCGGTATCCTTGTAAAAGCGGGCTCAAAGCACACCATTCTGAATCGACGTAGCGAATCGCGCACGCTTGAGGAAAAGCTCACCCCTGAAACTCCCCTAAAATGCCAAGGACCACCTCCACCGTGTACACTAGTTACAGGATAACGAGGACGTGGATACCTAATTCTGACTCTCTGCCACCAAGCGTAACGAGCTAAAAAACGACTGAAAACCTCACTCTAGTGATGAAAACGTTGCGCATGTTTCGATGATAAGGCGACTAAGGTTTGTTCCAACAACTTCACATGCAGACTAACGGAAGAAGCAAAAGAAGAGATTTTTCGTAGCCAAACAAGCCGCGTTGTCGTTCGCCGTTTGTCTCGCTCAATCTCGTAACGTATCGATTTCGCGACTTGGCCAGAAAGCATGTCTTGTCCAGTCCGTACCGAATAACGGCACCAAAGAGCGGGCGGGCGCGTATGCAAACGATTGCGGGAAAAAACGATCGAAATAGCGCAGAACGTGACGCGACTGCACGTGGCATTTCACACGCGCTTTAGACACGCGCGTACAAATGAAGTATAACTGTTAATGTTAATCAGCATTGAAGCGGAACCGGGTTACCAGGTAGGATTCACTCGAGGCCGATAACCCCGATTCGTTTCCAATTATTTATTTTCGTTAAAGATGAACTCCAATTAAATAATACATGGCTACTATGACATTATTATTTTTCTTTCTCTGACACGTATATAGGCACAAATTTCGAGCTTATTTACAATAGCTCATATCGTTTCAGACACGTAAATTCCTTGACAAATAATTCTTATTAAAATAATCCTTATTGGAAAATAATTGGAAAATTGTAATTGATATGATAGAGAATATTGTACGACAGCATTAATTATTCAAGAACAATTAAAGACAAATGAACAAGCCGATAATAGCCAACAAAATATTCGTGCAAATAAATCAGTTTTATGCAATTTAAAGTCAAAGAGTACAATTTTCAAACGTTTCGTATTCGATAATATTTTATATATTTGATAATTTTTATTCAAGAATACACGTATCGATTGTTTAGCTGATCATTTTAAATGATATTAGTCGATAACTTTTTCAGTGATAGTCTAAAATTAATAATAAACTGCAACTTCCCGCGAATCACTTTCGAATGTATTTCCAGATGAGGATCGTTTGTTCGATTCATTTTCATTAGCTTTCTTCGCTACGTGACAGGCTTAGGAAGTGATCAGAACAATAGACTCTTCCGTGACTTTCATCAATGTCAGTGGGACGCAGGCCCAATTACGATTCGGTTAATTTTCTCTATTACTAATTCATTGTAGCTATTTATAAAAGCGAAGAAATGATTAAAAAATGTAATATACCGAAGCACAGGTGATATAAGCGACGATTGATCAATTTTGCAAATTATTAATAAAAACACCCAGCGTTACACGAGGTACATTTAAACATTAAATTTTACATTTGGAATATATTTTTTAAACATTTAAACTGTCTTGTCAAGGCAGAAAACAACCTGTGTGTGTTTTTTCATAAACAAAAAATAATATTATTAATAACAATAACATCAACAATAATCAGCCTTGGATATATGATTTTTCTCATAAAATCAAAACCACTGGGTGATTTCATTTCGCAGCAATGTATCAATGAAGTATAATTATAAAAAATAAAATTAATGAAAAAAGACTCAAACCTTTGCGTCCTTCGAGCTCCTCCTGAACATCCGGCGAGAGCGAAGGGTTTTCATCCTTAATTGCTTGTTGCACATCATTGATCAATATGTCGTATTCCAGTCCAGCGTTTCTGAGCACATTTCCCACGTGCTTGAGCATGCAACTTTTTACCATAATATCGGTGATTGACGCATTGTTCGACCATATCGAGTACCGAAATCCATTTTGAGCTATGTCAAAGGAGAAAAATTGCCAAGTGACAATAATCTTTTCGCGCAAATTCGCGACTCTGAGACAAAATCCATGCTGCTTTTCGGACTAATTAATACGCGAAGTTACTACGTACAACCGTCCTCCTCGTAACTTTGCAACAGCTCGTTCGCTTCGCTGCTATTCACTTCGGGTTTGTATACTCTCCATACTTGATCGCCGTCATAAGTAATCTGATCCTGGACAACGTCTTTCGGCTCCTTTTCGCCTGATTTTCGTGCGACTTCCACAGAAAGCCCGTCGACAACGAAGATGACGATTGTCATCACCATCAACGTCGTCCATCTCACGCACTCTGGTCGTGGCTGTCTTCCGTTGTTCATCTTTATCGAAACTGTTCTTGAGAGCATAATATTCACCGCTTTTATAATACTCGCCACGGTCGGCAATCAAGAATAACGGGACCGCTCGATCGCGGATCCGAAGATTGTCGAAGCCGTGAGGATTGTACGACTCAAATCGTTGACCCTCGAAACCAACATTTTAGTAATACAGGGAACCGATTTTATATGTTAATAACAACAAAAAAAGCAACACGAGCTTCTTAACGTTTGACGATAAACTATTGCAAATCTAGACATGTTATCTTTAAATGCATAAGCATGTCATTTGGCTGAAACTCCTTTTACGCGTTATTAAAAACCAGTAATAAATAAAATTTTAATAAAATTAAAATATTAAAAATTAAAATTTATTAAATAATTTTAATAAATATCTATTTTAATATTCACTTCAACGCTGTTTTTCTGATTTTTACTTCTTCTTACCTTTCCATCTTTATAGAATTATAAAAGAGCATTGCATCGAAGCAAAAATAAGATTTATAAGAATATAGTGATAAGTTTCACTTTTCTACTAGATTTTATTTTTTCAGCAGAAAATTCTATATTATCTAGAAATATACACAATACCATTACGATATAATTGATACTTCTGTAATATTACTCCAAGATTAAGAGTGATATTATCAATAAACAATATGAAATCAGCAAAATCAGTAATCTAAATTTATCTTAACAATTTATGTCCATTTTTCTAGTAAAAATCTAGTAACATACCTTTGATATTACACTATTATGTAAGAATACCACGAAAATATTACTCTTCACCAAGTAGTGATATGCGATCTGTTCAGAATCTTATTTATTTTGTTTCGATTTAAATTTAAATCCTTACTATTCAAATTCTGATTATTCGAAAAATCCGGATTACAAAAATTTAAGTCTCACATATCGTGGCAATTTTAGAAAGTCACATTTTCCGCTAATGAGCAAAAATGAGCAAGTCATATATGGAGCACCCTAAATGTCGGATCTTAAAAAGAACCGATAAACGCAGAATTAAATAATTAGGAAAAGATAATATATTAAAATAAGAAAAGAATAAAGATAAAGAGTTCTAATATTAATAATTTAGGATTATTTAATTTAGGATCCTTTCATTTCATATGTGCTATTTATATTTCAGGAATTAAAATGTGTTATTTACAGTGTTTAAAATTTACTATGTTTTCAGCGAAACTTACTATGTTTCTTAGCAAGATAAAAACCTTACTGAGTAACCTTACTTCTACTAAAAACAGTAAAAATAATTTATAAGGAAAAACAAAGCATAATATATTCTCTTCCTCTCTGCAGCTTAAATTTATTAAGTTAAGAAATTATTAGTTTGTAGTAATATCTCTAACGACTCTTACAGACCATGTTACTAATTATTTTGGTTAAAAATTAAGTTTCGACTTGATACGATTCAGTTCAATTTGAATTTCATCGATTCAATTCGACGTGGGGAAACCTCGATTCGTGCATCTCTAGTAGTGATAAACGACGCAGATAGCTGCAGATAGTAGTGATCTTGAGCGTATCCGCAAGAATTTGCGATCTCAATTAGTTCTCTGATACACACACGACTACTTGGTTCAATTTAAAGCGCCGACGCGACTGTCGACGACGGCGCGTTTCGCAGGCAGACGCGCGACTCCCACCGCGAGGAAACGGTCGCACATCGTTCTTGCGTCGTGCATACCGCGGCTGAATACAACTGCAGCGCGGAGGCCAATTAATAAAGGAAACCGTGTCGCGACGTCCACATCACTTCGGGACAGCATTCGGGACGAAATCGTAAAACCATGAAGTGCTTGCTGACGATCGTCGTCCTCGTGGCTGCTGCCTCGACTACCATCGAGGTACCGTTCGTTCTTTAACACGATCCTTCACGATCCTTCCCCAATCGCAACTGCTTTTCTCGGATACCGTTAATATATGATTTTAACTGTCGGACCACAGAATAGAGATCAGTCGCTTGTATCTTGACTACTTTGCATGCATCGCATTATTCGTATCAGCTCGTGATTAAGCATCCTCGAAATGTTTCGACATTGTCATCCCTCTATATCGTATGTATTATCTTCACGAAGATTTCAACACGAGAAGCCAATTATTGATCATGGGATTTATATGTCATATCGAGCTACTGTGAAGAACTTCATCACAAAGACATTCTTTTTGATTCAAAGAAGTATGTTGCTACAAAAATCTTCTGATGAAGATATCATGATCTCGTTAATCGAGTGATGAAATTTAGTAATCATGTGACGATGAGTTTATCGGTTTTGTTTGAAAAATTGGCTTATGAAGCAGGGACGAATAGATGCAGTAAAGTAGTAATAGGTCAGACGTGCACGTTTCGCCTTTACAAGTCATAAGGTTTCCCTGCTTGTTACGTTTCAATAAACGCGCGTGTGCACGCATATAGGAAGATCCGCGCGCGAACGATTCTCCTGCGAACGTATGTATCACTTCGAGTGCATCAAGCATTGCGAATCCAGCAAGTGCGCGATAAATTAATAGCTCCATTCTGCATCACTTCTGTTGGTTACCACACTTGCGCTAGCAATTGTGTACAATCCTTTCGCTCGTTGATTAATTCAATACGCCAATTTATTCCTCCGGAATTGCCGTTGACCCCTTTCTTCCTTTCTTTCTTTTTTTTCATTGTAACAACTTCATTATGAATGATTGCGTTACGTACTGCCCACATAGAAGATAAGAGAATGTTCATTACTAACACGTTCGTTACTAACGTTTATTTGAAAAACTCTCTTTATAAGTCATTTTTTTATGTAATTATGTAAAACAAATTTAATTTGATAATGTGGATTAATGTGGACAGATTTAGTTTGAACAAAATTTTTGCCGTCACATGTATAACGTTAATCTCTTGTAAGAATGTAATCGTCGAGTCAAACATAAGGAAAATTGAATTTAGTTGGTCCAAGATGTATGTTGGCCATGTGCTTTGTTTATGTATTTATCGTGGAAGGAACAGAGAGGAAAGAGAAAAATGTTCGTTTAGAGAAAGCGAACATAGATATTTTTTTCTGAGTTTTATTAAAATTAGAATAATATTATAGTTAATATACGATCTCTCTTATATGTGATACTAAACGTGTTAAAAAAATAATAAATCTACTTCATTTTAGGCGGAAACATTCAAGATTACAGATAAAGTGTACTTCGATATCATGATCGACAATCATCCAGTTGGGAGAATCGTTATCGGTCTATTCGGTGACATCGCGCCGAAGACGGTGAAAAATTTCATCACTCTCGCCACCACTGGCGTAGCTGGGAAGAAGTACACAGGAAGCAAGTTTCATCGTGTGATAAAGAAATTCATGATCCAAGGTTCCTGCATCTTCAACTAAAAATGACGTATTGATTAAACTCCGGTAAATTATCGCATAATATTCACCGATACTTACAACTATATGTTACAGGCGGTGATGTCGAAAATGGCGACGGTACCGGCTCCATTAGTATTTATGGCAAATACTTCGACGATGAAACCTTCAAGGTAAAACACAGCAGACCATTGTTCATCAGCATGGCGAACGCCGGCAAAGACACCAACGGCTGCCAATTTTTCATCACCACAGTAGCGACACCTTGGCTAGATGACCATCATACAATATTCGGAAAGGTAATTAAAGAATGTATCGTGTCGTCAATTTCTTATCCGTAAAGAAATTTGTGTTACATACTTGGGGAGAGGGAACACAATTTCTTAAGATCAGTTTTTTTTCATTACTACATCTAAACTTCTTCAAGTGAAATTATATTCGGAAAGCAGAATGATCATCACTCTATCAGAATCACAAAAATTAATCGAATTCGTGTGATTTTTCACTTATATAGAATAAATTCTTAATTCTAAATTCATCGAGTGGATATCTTCACTCACAAATTGAAGACTGGCTCTGATGTATACACACTTATTCTCTAAACGATTTCAACACATTTTATCGAATAAAGTTGCTACGCTTCAAGTTGTCAGAAAGCCACTGTCAAATTTATTATTCTTTTTTTGACATCTTGATGTGTGTATTCTAATATCAACCAGTATATTCGCGTTTGTCTTGCCAACATTTGAAACATTTTTTTCATAGGTGGTTAGCGGGGAAGCTGTGGTCTTCAAGATCGAGCAAACCAAAACGGATAGCGACGACATTCCGCTCGTCCCCGTGGTGATCTACGAAAGCGGAATTCTCCCAACGGAACCGTATACTATATCAGACAACCCTTACGAGTAATGCAATATTTTCAACGTGACCTTGACAATATTAATTCGCACTTCCCTACCCTGCCCTATTTTCCCGTAAATTGCTAAAATCGTATACGTCCCACGTTCATTACAGATCGTGTGCTAATATTTACATTTGCGTAACAACCTTGTAGATCGAGATGCACAGCAACGATGAATCTGTTGTGTAATATCCTCGTATGAAATTTGCTATACTTTTGTACGCTTTTGAAGCTTTATTTTTCACGTGGTCATATTTCTTTTTTATAACGTGACAACGCGAGATCTGTACGTTTGTTCGATACATCATCATCATCTGTCTGTTCTGTGTGACCGCACCGATAGAAAGACTGACCAATATAGACACAAATGTAAAAGTAGATGTTGAAATCGCAATGACGTTTATATAGTAAATGTATTTGAAAATATATTCCTCTCGACGCGTATTTATCCCCTTGTCAAATTATATTCTATGCTTACTGAGATATCATCATGTATCTTCAACTAGGCAAATTATTTTTTAATGACGCAATATTTCCAGTTCATTAATGCGTTGTTAAAATACGCCTATTTGCAGTGTATGGGCGTGGATCAAAGCCACCTGCGTACCACTGGGATTCAGCTTCTCGATACTCGCGTTTTTCCATTATATGATGAAACAATTGGATGTCTAATCGACATTTTCTATCGTGAAAGACTGACTTAAACCAAAATGAAGAATATGTTGCCTCCGAAAACGGTTCAGCTCCTAAAAGTCATATTTATTTTATAAAAGACTATGTATATAAAAATAATTATACATTATACTGTTACAATCGCATATAATTCTAATAACAGAGTCACGTATCGTATGTACGTATAACCGGTAGAGCAAGTTCGCTTCCTCGACAACTTCTTCGCGGCACGTGGAACATTAGGCGCCATCTCTGTGTGAACTATGACGTTTCACAGAAAGGAGCGGATCTTATGTATTTTATAAAAATGTTCTAAAATACAAATTAGTTTTGTAATAAATCAACAATACAGAAAGAAAGCTGATGCATAATGTTGTGTTTTCCGAATCATCAATTGTTTTTCTTCAACAATTTCAGGACATGAGTAGTTATATAGAAATGTAATTAGCAATAATAACAGGCAGCTCGTTTCGCACGTGAAGATATAAAAAAAAAAAGAAAAAGATACCTGAAAAAATATTTTGATCAACGAATACTATTAATAATATTTGATTGCACACTAGACGGCCAAAAGAGAAAAGACTCAGCCATTTGGCTGTACGGTACTGTCGATGACGCAGAAGACCGCGCATGCACACACATATACGCAGATCCGGTTGTGTACACAAATACGTGTAGCTGTCAGACTAGGCTAGGCGCCTGGTAATCCAGTCAGTCGATGGCGAGCCGGCGTCGGTCATCAAGCGTTGGTGATCGACTAAGGTTGGTTGTGAAAGAGCCAAGAGCATCGGCCAATGCTCCAAGCATATTGCCGGCTGTAGTACATGACACGTGGGCGTATGCAAGAGAGCGATCATTCATGAAGTCACAATCAATACTATAACGGAGCACGTATCGTATCGGAGCATATTGTGGATACAGTGTGTCTGTGTGCGAAACGCAAGTAGTGTTGGTGCGTTGCTTTCACGGTTGCTGAAAAGCGGACTGAGGAGCGCATGTTGCTCCCTTCGAGCTTCGATCGGCCTAAGGACAGCTGGGACGAGGTCCTTGGAAGGGAATGTTCTGAAACGGCGTGTCAGCGTACTCACATAAGGTACGCGCCGTTTTTTCAATCGAAATTTTCACACAAGTACGACGTAAATTTTGAATTAACCACAGAACATAAACAATCCAGTTTTTGCCTTGGCGTTTGTTGATATTTGGAAATTGTAGAGTCACAAAGAGATTTAGGACGAATGAAAGAAAACGCGCTTGAAAGATGTAGTCCGCTCAATTTTGAAATCACGAAAAGATTCTTGTTGGATCAATAAACGAATGATATGACGAGCGACGGCATACTGCTCGACGATAAATTTGTTGATAAAATGATAAAATGATTGTCATATTAAATGGCATGATTTAGTCGAATTAGAAATTTTCCTTTGACCGATAACTCCCGGTAAAACTGACTCCTCCGTTTGTGAGCGGCTTTTACGAATGGAATTCGCACGAATTTAGGATAGTTTTAAGAACTTGGTGGATAGTTTGTTTACGTTCGAATCCGCGGAGATTCAACCGACTCATCGATAATAAACTCATCAAAATAGATGATAAAAATAGATGCATGAGCGTAAAGCCGCGATATCGCGTGTTATTGATATTGCTAATAATGATTGCGATAAACGAAAGTATGGATCATCAGGAACGTATGTTGCGACCGAAAACGGGTCGTTCCTGGAGAGATGCTGAGTCAGCGCGCGAGCAATGAAATTATTTCGCCAGCAAAATTGCTCCGAAAGACCGCAGATCCAGATAGCGTCATACTCTTCACAACGACTGGATGTGTGAAACACACGAATATAGTTGCTTTCACACTTGGTGATATTCGTCGGATTATCGCATAACTGCGCACACAAGGTCTTGCACGCACACTCGCGACTGCCATTGCTCATATATATGATAGAAAAAAGACATGGGAAGCGAAGTAATCTATTCATTGTTCTGTGTGTTGTTATTGTACAGTCTCTGCCGCGATAAATCTAATCGCGCTCTTTACTGACCTTCTGTTTGCGACTAATGATAATAATCTCGTTTTAAAAATTTTGAAAATTATGGTTAGCTTTTCTGCAACACGGCACGTACTCGAAAACTAATAATTCATGTTTTTGGTTGTCTGCCATGTAAGAACAAATCAGAAATACAAACCTATTAATAAGAGCCTAATGCTGTTTTGTACAGGCTAGTAATATTATTTATTTATTTTCGCGAAACATGATATAACATCATGTTTCGCGATTAATTAAAGACAGTTAAATATTGAGTTTGTACACTGTATTTTAATTGTTATCAATGATGATTACGAATAATTTGGACTGATAACATATATCTTTCTTTATAATATATGAAAAAAATATTTATATATGCTATAGATTAAAATACTGAAGAGGGCCAATAATTAATTGAAACGTTTGTTCGTGACTTGGTCGCTTTAAATAAATTATATTATTAGCCTGAACAACAATATTAAGTTTTTATTGACCAATTTATATTTCTAATTTGCTCAAAAACTGTTACCCAGCTTTTTATTTTTTTTCAATTACGTCACCCTCATATAATTTATGTCCAGCTCTAAACATGTTACGAACGGTTAACAATTGGTTAACGAACATTACCTAGCTGATAAGTTTCTTACAATATACTTTCTAGCGTTTTTAACATATTTTCCTGAAGTTATGCTGGAGTAAACCACATGGGAAGAACCTGTATGGAAAAAGAAGTCGCAATTGTTACATAATTTCAGCTGGCCACGAAGGATCGCTTTAAACACACGTCAGAATAACATAACGCTACCGTTTATCAAAACATCAGAAATCCAGCGCGTTATTTCGCTAACGCAATTTATCCCTCAAATAATACTACGACTATTGTGCATTCCCTTGATTAACTTGACGTTATAGCGTGTAACACGCATCTCCACGCAAAACATGTCAACTCGACATGCAATTCGGGCATATTTCATATATTATTATTACAAAATTCAATCAAAATCACGTAATTCGCGGTATAAACAACAAAGTTGTTCAATGTAAATCAACGCGGTGTAGATAACAAAGGAGTGAGCAGCAGAATAGCATGAAGTAATTATATCAATTACGAATCTGTGTGTAGAAGAGATAATATAATAAATGACTGTTTCTCGCAACTTCTGTCCGCAATGACAGACAGTCTTCTTAGACTCGAGTAGATTATTACATTACCGATAAATTAACCGATAACTAGACGGTAGCTATTATTCATGGCATCTAATCAATTACGGTATAACTGTAGAACCGGCGATTCATTCGCTAATATTGCAATTTACTCGCTCGATGATTACAGCACACGTGTGCCGGACACACCTTGTATCAAATAATGCATGTTGTTACGTCCATAGTAATCAAGCTTAAACCATAAATAAAGTATCAATATGTAATTTCTTCTACATTATTTTAGAAGTTTACAAAACCGTATTTCCACTAACACATTAAGTACTACTCATAAACTTACTATTCATCGAACAAAATTACGTTTCTATATGTTTATTTTACTATCAATCATAGCAATAAATGTTAATTTGAGACGAAATTAAGATAGATACATATACACAATATTACAAATATAAAAAAATATTATTTCGTTATTTTTCTTACTAATGTTGTATTACTAATCTGTAATAACATAGGAGTTTCTCATTAAAGCCTTAATTTGAGAAAGTTTACAAGAAATTACGAGTTTAAGAGAAATTAAGAGTTTACAAGAAAAATGAATATTAAAAGTAGCATATCGACTCCAAGGAACACGTATAAGAAGTGTCAAGTGTAACTTTAGTTTTAAATACTTCAATTCTCTAGAGTTAATTTTTTCTAATTGCCCGAACAGTTAGATGACATTTCAATATTTATATGTAGTCAAGTTTCAATAAATTTTTCACAAATTCATTTTGCCCCTTTAATTCCGTGATGAAATCGGATCGGTAACACGATCGTGAGATCATTTAAATGGCCACTGCAAATGAGCGAGATAAGCATTTCATTCACAAAATTTCGATACACGTACATTGAAATATTAGAATATCACTTCGAGCAGCACTTCAGATACTATAGAAGTGTACTTCGCGTACATGGCAACTCAAATAAACACTTCGACAAAATAGCCAATTAAAATACAATACACATGACGCATACGTGAGGTACGTGCAAGCATTCGATTACGCATGTCTAGTCGCGTTTGCATTCGATCATGGACTTTGAAACTTCCTGAAATTTTTTGTCAAGAAATGTGGTAAAACAAATGAATATTGATAACGTATTTCTCTCTCTGCTTCTTAGTATCCTGTCGACAACACAATTATATTTGTATATGAATCACACGAAATACACGTACACATGTAAGTATACCGTTGGCTGGCTATGTATATATATATATATATATATATATATATATATATATATATATATATATATATATAAAATTTACCGCAGAGAGACGTTGCGTTCATTCCTTCTCCATATAAGGAACTGATAAGTAAAGCCATTAAACACGCCTTATGGACTATCTGACAATATCCGACGTTATACTTTGTTGTCTTATCGAGGAAAATCCAACGAAGAAAATGCAACATCTGCTTTCTATGTATTACATCGCTCAACTTGTAAGAATTGGCCGTTTCGGTTTAGAAAGAAAAGCTTTTATCAGAATTGAACAAAAGAATCAAGCCGTTGCCAATTAAAGAAAGTATTGTCGAGCATACGCGCTTCTTAATCACCGCGTCCACCTTTCACCGTCCTATCGTTTTATGATTCACACAGCATAAAAGCTGAGCACGGTGTGCTCGCACGGTGAGCTGTTCGGCGAAGTTGATTGATGTTATCCACGACGGAATAATATCGTCACGCGACGTCACGACTTGTTCCCCTTTCTAACGCATACATCATTACCACCCGCATCTTCATGCGATAAAAGCGTAACCGGCGCGCCTGCCGGCGACATCGTCTCTATGTAATTGGCCTGTAATTAAGGTGGGCGCGCCTGTTTTTACTGAATCCTCTGATGACCAAAAACATACTCGCTTCTGTTCCAAGAGTTCCTTAAATAGCGGTCTTTTCGTGAACTTTCGGCCATCATTTCGTCCCAGCTCTTCGATCGTAGTCGATTGCTCAAATAGAACGTCAAGTAACACGTGTGATTGTTCCTAATAATACGACGACTTTAAAAGACACTTATTATTGATAACGACGTAAATTTTATAGAAAAAAGTTAGCATTTTGTCGGTTTGTAAAGTCTTCAAGCATGGCATATCCCGATTATTATCGAACAATATTATCAAGCAAAAATGATCAACAACTTTAAATTTAATAGTCTCTTCAGTACACGCCATGACTGCACAATGAAATTGTATGAGGGCAACTAGCATGACGGCTGGAGCATCATGTGAAACCCGACAATAAAAACTAGTTTATGAAAAGTCCTCAGATCCGAAAGGGCGTAGTGCGGGACGTCATTGCGTCTCTTGGTAGAATCAGGTTAAAGGTTTTCGACTGCGGCAGTGTCTTATCGATTCTAAGAGTTTATGACAGAGCCGCAGCATGCCGGGATATATTAAGAACTTTCAAAGAAAAGAAAGAAAGAGATGACTTAAATTTGACTATTTAATTTTTTTTTTTCAGGGTGAAAGGTCATCCGGACAGTTCGAAGCATGACGAAATATTGGCTGAGCGTGATCCTTCTCAGGGTCGTTCTACCAGTCATCTTAGCCGGATGTGAGTACCATTCAGATGATTCCTCTCCTATTCAATCTTTTTCTTTTCTTTCGCTAATGTTACAAATATTTTATTCCAGCAATACCATTCTTTTACGGGTTCCCCCCATTTTTGTCACTACTTTTTCCACTACTTTTGTCGCCATAAAGATATTTTACTATTCTTTTATTTCGTTGTTTTATCTGTTATTAAGCTGCTACAAAATTATTTTATTACAAAAATTAATGTTTTTATTTTCACATAATGTTTATTTGGTGTGTGAGCTGCTATGAATCATCGGATATAACCGGAACGAAACAACAATATTAACCAATGCAAGTCGCCGTAATGTTTTACGTAATGGATATCTCCCAGTATCTTTGCCATAATAATGATAGTAAATATACCCGGTGATGTCATTGCCGTAACAGTCACATTCTGCAATCGTATAATGACCTTAGTTTGTTTTTTAACAAAAAGACCGACAAAACAAAATACAAAACAAAATACACAAAATAATGCTTTATCTACTTCGCAGCGAAACGACTGAGAAAAGCAAATAATGTTGAAAAATCCGACTTGGATTGACTGCTTATACTTCGCGTAATCATATTCAGGCTTATGCTAATCGACAGCGATACTAGATGAAATACATTCCACGAACTTCTTCTAAGATTGCGTGTTCGCTATTTATACTTCACATTCCATTCCGATGTTTTATTTAATTTATATAATGTTGATATTATAATTAATACATTTTATTCAACGTTCAGATATATTTCGAAATAACTGGTTTCAGTAACTTTATTATTTTATTTTTACTTTTATTTTTACTTTATTTATTTTTACTTTTCTAAAAACTATTGAAACTATTGAAGAGAGACCTATGAGATATATAACAAAATCACAAAAAAGCTCTGTTTTCGATTTTAATTTATACAAATAACATTTTAAATAATTTATATAACGTGCATAAATGTTTTTAAAAAATAACAGCATGTTAATAAATAGACTGAACGGTTTTACGTCTTACATTGATCGATCCACTATTGGTCGAATAATGCCGTCATTATTTATCAGTGCGTTATTAATTTGCCACATGTTGACTCAATCACAATATATCACTGTACTATCATTATCCTGCTTGTATAACGCGTATTATTCGATTATTTCCGTTTTTCGTAGAATCTGATTAACGATCAATTCCGTTTATTATTTCCAGCAATTTGATATTCTACACCTATTAGCAGCAATAACATTCGTACTAAACTATAAACACTTTTTGCTTGTGATTTGTTAACAATGTCGTGAACAACATAAAATACGCCAGACAGATATACACAATAGAATACACTAGAAACAGACGTACACAATAGAGGAATGTACTTTCATAAATTCTAAGTCGACACTACGGAAACGTGTTCACACTGTCTCGAGGAGTGTTCTAATTTTAAAGGGCGGGTGCTCAAACTCGTGTGTATCCGTATCACACGAACCAAATTAGCTACTGACTTTATCTAAATATTTAATCGCGTGTATGTGCGTATGAGAGTTCTATTACCAAAAAGCTTCTTACAAAATTTGTACTCTAAATTGTATCTGTCAGGATAAATTGATCTCTTGAATAGTGCAATAAATTTTATAAACTTATTGCAATATTTTATAAACAGTCTTTCTTTGTCTATGAAATAAAGTATAGAAAGTAGATAATGAAAGTATAATTCCGAAAATGTGGAAATTTTTATACTAAGTTACTTATAATAAAAATTATATTTTAGGATTTTTTTATGTTCAATTTAATTAGGATCACGTTTTTCATATGTTAAGAAATATAAACATAACAATATTTTTAAAAATGTTAAGAAACATAAGTATATCGCCATTTTCAAACAAACGTATAATATTTTTAAGAGCATAATGAATTGAGCCAACTTAATAATTAACTACATCAGTTTCGTGTGGCATAAAAATACCCAAAGAACATAACGAAAGCTTCGTGCGTGCGACGTTCTTATTTCCGGAGTCAATTTCGTGATCGTGGAATCTTCTAGGGTTAGCCCAAACTTGTGACCTCATTCGCAAAAAAGAAAGAAGACATATATGTCCATGACGAAATTAATATTCGCCATACACACGGATGTGGTACTGTAATGCGGATAATTATTATCTTATCGCTTTCGTTTCTCGCAGATTACAATCGACAAATCGGTTTTGTTGCTACAGGACAAAAGAATCAATAAATAAATTTCATAATCAATAAATAATTAGCTCATAATCGGCTGTAATTATCACAATAGTGAAATAGGGAGACTTTGCAGTAATTTAACAATGTAGCTTGTAACCGACTTCACTTGGCAGCGACACAATATCCTTATTTATGTCTGTTAGATAAATATAACACGGACCACGAATAGAGTAAGTTACTGTCTGCAGCAAACAAGAATAATACAATACTTACGTGAATATTTCTAGAAGTTCAAAGAACCCTTCTAACTCGCTATAGCAAATCTCAACTGGCAGCCAAACAACCATGCTCGCTCGTGAAATATTTGCAACACTGTGTGACGCGATAGTAATTATCATCAGTAGACTAAACTGGTTACAACAGTTCGCATTAATTATCTATTCATGTTTTTCCCGAGCAGTACCATATACCGGATGATGATTTAATGTTTGCATCAACAAAGTTTGCATCTACCTTGGAAGTATCAACGACTTTTTTAACATTGACAAGTCGAATATAAAAATGCATAGTATTTAACATTCTATATAATAATAATCTAATAGGTCAAAACACTGTTGAAATAGATATAAACTAATAATAAAAAGCGTAAAGGTTGCGATAAAACACTCGCAGAAGTTGAAATGTCATTTCTCGGTACGTGTCGTTAGTAACTACGTGCTGAGTAATTTCCCCACCCTCATAAATGACCTTTCCACTAACGTGCAAATGATTGTCACACCGCGTTGCCATCTAAAGCTACATATTTATGCGCCGTCACGCTGTTCCCCTAATAGGTCTCCCGAATAAAATTCTGGAAGCGAAAATGGAGTAAGTCGCTCAACAATCGAAAGATAGATAAATGAGATAGCACTAGTTCTGTCGAAAGATCTGAGTATTTTTATTGCGATTTATAAAGAACTTACTTGATTTTATTGGTATAACAATCACTATATTACATAAATATACGTAACAAGTTATGCAGCATTTATATTGGATTATGCAATAAGTTCGGACGTTGCAGATGAAGTGAAATGAAAGATTGTATTTTCATGTCGATATAATTTTATGAAATTATGTATGCGCCATTTTAATCTACGATCTTCTGCCATCCTTCGCACATATTGTTTCACAAAATTAACACAAACGACGAAAAAACATAATCGCTTTACTTTACCTAAAAATTCCAGAATTATTAAACAAACTATACAATTATGGAAAACATAACGCGAATTTCGAACTCACAGGTACAATATGGCGACCAGTGGGATTGTCGACAATTTATCTGGGATTGATGCTGTATTCTCCGATGATACCGATACCAATGCGTGGAGCTATGCCGCAACACACCAGGACATATATGAAAATTTGCATTTGCTTAGCCTTCCTTATAGCCATAGCTCAGATCACCTTCCACATCGTACTCCTATCATTACAGCCCTACGGATACTTTCTTCAAAATTGTAAGCAAACCTCTAACAAAAACATTATATTAAATATTATCATTAAATATTATCATTATTATTTTATTATCATTAAAAGTCTCCAGAAGAGTTAATCTTATATAATTCTTTTAAACATTATATGTGTGTATATATATATTATATGTCATATATTATGTATCATTATTTATGTGTGTGTGTGTGTGTGTATGTATGTGTATGTATATATATATATATATATATATATATATATACATACATACATACATACAATGATGTTTAAAAGAATATATATATATATATATGTATATATTTATTTATTTATAATATTTATATACATTGTGTAATATTCTGGAGAATTAGATATGTTATCGGATTAAAAATCATATAGCATGTAAAATTTAAATATGGAAGCTATATATAAAGAGAACCATCTTTAATCATTATATTAATGTATTTTCAGGCGAATTTATAGAGAAAATGTTCCGACATATAGGTTTTGTCAGATTAGATAGCGCATCCGTCTGGGAAGTTTTTTATTGGCTAACGCCGGAATTCATAGTTTTACCAACTGTGATCGCGATGTATCTTATATGTAATGCCCTTATGGTGAGACAAGATAGCGACGATATTATATCTCTTCGTCAAGAAACTTATTCTGAGCAAAAGAAGACGGAGGACAAAACCACTATGGTAATTACATTTTTGTACAAGTACTTCTCACCTAAAGGATAGTATAAAGATACAATAAGAGAATACATGGAGAAAACTTTATAATAAATATTACTATAGAATTTTGATAAACATTCTGTAGTACTCGATCCTTTCATTTCATATATATTACTCATATTTTAGAAGCTGAAATATGTTATTAAAACATTTGCTATATTTCTAACGAAATTTGCTATATTTCTTAACAAGATAGACCTTACTGACAATTAATTCTTGCACTACTATAAATATACATTGAAAAAGAAGATTGGATAAAACGAACCAAATTTTTAGGTTGAACCAGTTTAGTCGCATATAACAATCCTCTAACAACCAAGTCAAACTGAGTAAAAATTAAGTCTGTTCAACAATCTGACGTAGAAATTTCAACTAAAAAATCTAACCAAGAATATAAGATTAATTGTTAGCTGAAATATAGTTATATGGATGTTATAAATTTTCTTTTAATTAACAAAAATTTCTTATTTGTTACTACATTTGACAACTTATTTGATTACCATTACTTTTCAAATCAATATCATGATTATTCAATTTTGTTAAATACTTTGTTTGATACAAATAAGAAATTGTCAGAACATAAAAATTAAGGCAATTAGTTTACCATATACAAAAACTTGAGTTTGCTCAACTTGATTCTAATTCTTTCGCGATCGATCCTTTTTTATAGTATACTAAAATTGAAAAAAATTTATATGAAAGAAAACTATAATATTCTCTCCGTGTAAAATCGCTATCCTTTAAAAACAATATTTATGCAACGTTTAAATGAGACTGTCGCTGAATAAATGAGACACGTGATAACAAAATTTCACACTTGATAACGCATGCCACGAGGAAAATCGATATCGCGCCAGATAACTTATGCCCACGTACATTCACGTTCAGATAATCAACTTCCTGGGACGCATCGGTACCTACGTCGTTCTAGCGTCATTGTGCTGCACCGCGGCCTTGAAGCCATCGATAGAGGCAGCTTTCTACTTCCTGGTGTTTCTAGGCGCAGCTACATGGTGGGCTTGCAACAGGGAACTGCGAAAAAATTTCGCGATAATTTGCAGGATTATCATGGTTGTTGTGAGCCTTCACATCATTGCGTTGCTTGCCTACCAGAACCAATGGCCACAAGAGTTTATCCCTATCGACAGTCCGTGGTCACGTTACCTGGCGTTAACTGCAGTTTATCACACCAATTGCAGTCATCCACGATACATAGAATATACGAGTGATGCCGATTGGTTGATCTACGGTTACGCTTTGAGACTGTTTTGGCTGTACTACGTTCTGTCATTGCAATCCCAGTTTCTCATGAAACAACCGGTAAGTTTACACATTTATCTATCTGATAAGAGTTACGATATTGTAAGAATTGACTATTCCTTCCAATCGGTATAGCTGTTTACTAAGGAGAAATTAGGATAGTGTATATAAGAACATTGCTTAGATAATAATACGGATTGTAATGTTCTTGATATATTATGCTTCTTCGTTACCTAGAATTCTTAGAATTGAAGCAGTACCTTCAATTTTCACGTTACGTTGGAATTGTTCAGATTGCTGTATTATTAACGCGATTGCTCTGTTCTCATATTAGAGAAATATTCGGATACGAATCATTTCGATGAAAGGAGCCACTGTATTACTCTAGAGTGAGGTGAGGATTTGGCACTGAGAATTTGGCTGACTAGTGACATTTAATTATTATAGCAAAATAGGAAAATAAGACTAAATATTTACATAAACCTTGTAGTAGGCGCGATTATCGTATTAAACCTTATTAGAACTAGTGTATTGAATTGTACTTCCACTAAAGCTTCTCCTGGAACCTGGGCATATTTTACAATTTAGAAGCCTTCGCTATCTCAGCGCTATACGTTATTTGCCTGTTTACATGTACCGTAATTAACTCACTTATAAATAAGAAGTTATTAACATTAACACTGCAAGTGTAATAACTGAACGCCTAACAAGACTTTCGCACTAACTCAAATGTAAAAGTGCTCCCTTGTATTCAGACGTGTTAAATGGATTGTAAAAATTGGATCGCCAAATACTGAACCGTTTATCTTTCTTTTCAAGATTATAGAGATAATATCTATACAATGATAATTTATTTTACAATTAGTTTACGAACGGATACAAAAAATGAACAAAGTAGATGAAAGAAGTTATTTCGTTATTTCGAAATTTTTCTAATAATGTAATTTTCTCGGCGGTTTTGTCGATACCAATTGTGGAGAACTTTGTTGAAAAATATGTTGCTTTTACTAACAAGGCGTTGCAGGCGAAGAGAGCGAAACGATTAAGCGGCAAACTGGAGAACTTGGACACTCCGTTGTCAAGACATGTGTCCATCAGACGCAGGACACCTTCTCAAAGATGGCAATCGGCGCGACGTAAGGCTCGCGTAAGGATCTGCTTCACAAGAGCCGACTCGACATGCAAATAATATTCTCACATGTTTGTGATCACGCAACTTCTCCTCTTGTCAGCTATATTTTATTTCAGATATCTCGCTGATACACACAATACAACACTGGATGCTAATTTCTAATTATTCAATTGCTCGTTTCACTAACTTCTCGACATCTTTTCAAACTCACTCAAATTGTTAGATATTTATATATTCGACACTTTCATTACTTGAAATTATTCGTTTATTTAATTTTATTCGTTACTTATTATTCGTTCTTTTAATTTTACTTTTTTTATTAATTTCTTAATTTTAATTTTAATTTTTAATTACAACATTTCTACTTTTCTAGTATTTTTAATCTCTTAGATATGCTTGAATACTTCCTGATTGTTACAATATTTATCGTGATGTTTCTTTATTAATTATCTATAGTAATTTATTTGCAAGTTTCCTCAAGATTTTGTGGAATATAACATTGCACTTACAAATTCGAGAAGTTATTGACATTAACCACACAGCTTAATTTATCGATAATTTCTGACTAAACGGTTCCCTCGGATATTGTTTGTAAGAAAAAAAACTGTTTGGTCTATTGTAAGATGCTACCCGTATTCTTATTTGCTATCGCCTTACAGATGTGCTGTTGTTGTTTAATGCTGAGCAAACCCTTTTTCCGTTTGGATGCCGCTATGTTTAGTTTGCCATTGTTTTAGAAGCCGCTCTTAAGTCGGTCATCGACAATACCTGTATCCGACGAGCGAGTGCCTGTACGTATACTGATTGAATATGCACGCACAATTAATCATTAACTTATTAACAATATATTCTTCTTGTTACTCTCTTATCAACGCATATAAAGCGGCTCGAGTTTTTATTCGAGCAAATGACTGGATATCCGACAGGCATTTGCACGAATTGATCTCGGATAAGCTTCACGTACGCAATCATTCTTAATGAGACTTTAGCAAACTTTAATAAACTCTGGTGAAGGTAAATGCACGCTATTTCGTATATTTTGCATGAGTTTGTCATTATTGGCAAAGCAAAATTTTTAAGGAAATGTAAATTTAGTATAAATTATATTAGTAATAAAGTTTACGGAACAAAATAGTATTATAATTACTATTAAGGTATACTCAAAAAATACAGCGTTGTATTTTTTGTACAGCTCTTGCGATTTGGGTCAGGAAGGGCGGGGCTTCTCCAAGACTCTACTGGGAGCGTCATCGTTCAGGATGGTCACCAGGAAGACAGCGCGCAAATGCAGAGCCTCAGTGAAGGTAATGGCGCAAATATAAAGATGTACGATAACTTTTATACATAAATGAGTGAATATAATGATTGATCAATGATATTACTAATTAGGAGCTCCTAATGAGACACCAGGTATTGTCGAGCAAATAATCATGGCGGTGTACTCTATCTTCCAATTAATAGTAAACTCATCGTATCTTGCTACAAATATAATTATGATGGTAAGTATCACAAGATAAGGATACTACAAGCAATAAATTGTGTGTGTGTGTGAAAGGAAATGATAAAATCATCATAAATAATTCGTTATCTCAGCTTTTACTTTTCTTATTTTGTATTTTTGTATAATCTCTCTTTTCATAATCTTTATTTATATTAATAATTTTTCGTAATTTTCTAGACATGGAGTATAATGTATCATAGTTGGGCAACATTCGTCCTGCTGCTCTGGGCATTGATTTTATGGATGGTTCCCAATAAACGTGCTTCCATGATGAAGTGTTCACCCTTCATCGTATTTTATGCCACTCTCTTACTTCTCGGACAATATGTTTATAGTATGGACTTGAATGATCAAGAGTTGCCACAAGAAGTAAACGGCGTCAATATTTCCGAGATCGGTTTTATCAAAGCCGATAAACTCAGCCGCTGGCATTTAATAGTTAAGGTGCCTTGACATCTTGTGTACTTTCTTTATTTAAATAGCGAGATTTATTTCTATACACAAGCAAAAAATCATTGATAAGACATTATTTTAAGAATACTCAATCGTGTATAACGTTTTTTAATATGTGATTTTGAACATTGTATATATCAACATTATTATATGAGTAACTTCGATACTTCAAAATTTTTAAAACATTTTTGCAATATTCAAAAAGATTACATTGTGCATTAATATCTTTGAAATAATTTTAAAATATCACGCAAAAACGTTCAAGAAATACACATGAAATCAATATTTTAAGATACTGATCTAATATTCTTTGTTATATCTTAATATTCTTTATTGAGTAAATAGCACTCTTCCATTGAGAGCATTGCTTCATTTTCAATTTTTTCTCACATTTACAGTGTCTGTTTATATCGATGTTTTGGATTACTATGAGACAATATATGGCAGAACGGAAGCAACAGCAACGATCTTCTGCATTAAGGGACATGGTAGCCCCGCTACACGTGTCTGTCTCAACTGCTACAACTGCTATGAGTCACGAAACGCCCGAGATCAAAAGTGAATTTATGAAAGAATTCGGTATTCAATTACGGAATTCACTAACGAAGTTCTGGATCGCTGTGGTAGCAATCACGTTGTTCATCTGCGGCATTATGGGCGAACGTATGACGGTCTTCAGAATTGTCTATATGTCATTGTTCCTCTTCTTTGTCATTACATTCCAGGTAACGTATACAAATGTTGATTTCCAAAGTTTATTAACGTATTAATGGCCAAGTCGCGTTTCAGGTTTCATGGGTAGTATGGAGAAGGATGATGTACGCATTCTGGTTAACTTTAATTGGATATTCCATCATAATGCTGATCCTTGTGTACACCTACCAATTTGAAAATTTCCCGACATATTGGGATTATCTTGGAATAGATCAGGACCTGTGAGTAATGATCGCTCAATCATACGGTTCCGTTTGTTAATTATACGGATTTTCCGCGGTGAGTATACCCACCTTACTGCCGTTTCAGACAAATGGATATTGGATTGGAGACTTACGAAACCAAAGATTTATTCGTTCGTTTGCTGACGCCGACATTCTTCGTTATCATCACCGTAATTCAAATTCATTATTTCCACAATGGCTTCCTTCAAGTCACCAATATCGACAGAGTAGAGTAAGTATGAAAACAATTGTATTGAAATGTGTGATAATAACGGTGTTGAAAAGTATCTCAATCAATTTTAGGCCTGGAAATGCATATAGACGCTCTAGCTTGGGTCATTCACCTAGTTACAACATTGCTGCATCTTCGCCGGCTGATGTCACGCTCATAGAAGACGAAGGATATACGATATATACGTTGAAGCAATTAAAGCGTATGATTTTTACTTATTTAATTATGCAAATTGACCTAGAGAGACATATTTCGCCATATTGTTTAGTGACTAGTATAAGTACGCAAAAATGCGTTCTCATACAATAAGAATTTTTTCAGTATATAATAAAAGCCATCTTATGCTACAAAAATTGCGGCAATATTGCAGCTATTTTCCGATGCTATGCTATAATTGTTACTTATTTTGCCAGGAAGAACATTAATAAAATTAAGAAAATGAATACGTATTAATACAATTAATACGGAATTATTGAAGTAAATCTTTCGATTAAAATTATGATGTAATAACAAGATATTTTTTGAAAACTTCAAATTCCCCTTAGAACTTAAATATATTTTAAATACGTTGTACTGTTACAAGCATCACAAATGATATATTAAATGTTTATATACTATATTTGCTTCTCTGTTTATCTGGGGGGACAATTATCGTTTTAATATTATTGTTATCAGATATTGTTATCAGATACCTTCAATATTGTTTACAGATATGTCAAAATTAGAAAGAATTGCGTTGTGGCGGAGAATAAAACAACATATTATAAATTTTTATAATTACACTTGGCTCTTCTTCGAAATTCATGTGCAGAAAATTATTTTTATTTCATTCGTTCTTCTGTGTATCTACGATGTAAGTAAAATTATCATAATTTGTTTTATACAATTTCGAGAGATTCAAGATAAACTATATAAATTTGTTTTAGGTCTGCGCGATAAATTTCTTTTTCATCGCTGCCATAGTCATAATAATAAATTTCAACAGAAATATTCAAACAACAGCAATTAATGTGATGGCTGCAATTATATCACTTCTTATGGTCACTAAAATGTTGTACCAAATTAAGTACATTAATCACGAAAATTGGAATGTTAATTGCACGGTAAGATATATATATATATACACACACACATGTGTATGTATGTATAAAATGTATAGAATAGAAAGCAACGCCGTTATTTAAATATCACTTTGTGGCATAAGAATTTCTTTTATTGTACCAATGTATTATTCAAAATAATTTCAGACTGCCATGGACGAAGAACATCAACAATATTCAAACATCACTGTCTACAATATAGCCGAGTGGTTTGGAATGAAAAAAGCTGAGACGGCTGAACTTCCAAAATTATTGGCAGGTTATATCGGCATCGTCACCGTGACAACCTGCAGGAAAATAATTAGGGTCCGTCAATTATTTTATCGCCTTCATAAAGAAGAGCCGTTGGACACTCCTCAAGTGATGTTTCCAGCTATCACCAGAATAGATGCCGACAAAGGAATATCAGAGTGCTTGAAGTTCCTCTTCAACTATGGTTTCTATAAATTCGGCCTTGAAATATGCCTCATTGGCATCGTCGCATTGATTGGCACCAGGCTGGACTTTTATTCAGTTTTATACTGTATATGGCTGTTATTGTTCTTCTCGTTAAAAAGAAAAACTGTGGCGCGACTCTGGCCATGCTTTAAATATTCCACTATAATTCTTCTACCTGTTCAGTACGCTATTGTTGTGGCTCCACCATCATGGCTTTGTATAGGTAAAGTGACGCCTCAATATAAATACTCTCATGTTGGGAGAAATAAATAATAAGTGGGTTTCTTCGATCTTGTTTCAGAATATCCATGGGGCACAACCGAAGTAATGAGGAGATTGCAAGAATGGATGTTCCTTCCTGACCCAGATTATCCACCGAATCCCAAAAAATTGATTTGTAAGTTCCACGCCTTATGTCTAACAAAAAAAGACTTCATCTAATATTTTTTAGTACATCTTTCTCTTCATTTTGCATTCAGGTGACTTTATTTTATTAATGATGATCGTGCGACAAAGTCTGATCTTCAATATCGAACAGCAGAATTTGCAATCTAACACAGATTTCGCAGCTGGCCACAATTATTCTGTTTTTAAAGATATGGAGAAACCGAATTTTGTGAATCCTGTGAAAGATTATGTATCGCAAATTCACTCTTGGTTGGACGTAATCAAACGTGGTGGCATGATGAGTCTCATGTGGTTGACATTATCGATCATGTTTTTAGCCGGAACAGAAAGAACGAATATTTTCTCACTTGGCTACCTCATAGGAGCATTCTTATTCCTTTGGCAAGGAAGTGATTTTTATTTGAGACCAATCGGAACTATTTTGAAATGGTGGAACATACTAATTGGATACACCGTCATTGTAATTTTCGCAAAAGCTTTACTTCAAGGTGTAGGTTGTGTCCTCATCAAAGATGTAAGCTTCTTTTAATAATTAACTTATCCTTATTAGTAAAATAATGAAATATAAATTATAATATATAACATTATATAATTTTGAAATATATAACAATTGCTGAATTGTTTCTGTAATACTAGCTCGAACATTCAGTATGTTCGCTAATACAATTGCTGGGCATCGCGTGTCTAAAGAAATTCAAGAGTTCCTCGAGTGGCATACTGGATCCCATGGAGTGTGATGTCCCCCGTGAAAATATCGGCATGGTCTGGGATGGGCTATGCTTTGGTTTCCTTTTGATACAGAAACGTCTCTTCAAAAGTTATTATTTCTTCCACATAGTAGACGAGACGAAAGCCATGAAGATTCTAGCATCCCGCGGTGCCGAGCTACACGAAGAACTACATCAGAAGCGCATAGAAGTTCAAGAGAGCGTAGAGAAAGCTGTCTTAGAAAAACTCAAGTTCAAGATGGATAAGATCAAGGCCAATCAGCAAAAGATACAGGGACCATCCTACAGAGAACCCCAGACTCACAAAGTCGGTAAGACATTTATCTTAAAGATATGCATTCCATGTCTCATATAATAATACTGAACAAACTATATTTTATCAAAGACACCTTGAAAAAGATTTAAATTTTTTCCTCCAATAAATGATTACAAGGTTTAACCTAGGTCATGAAGCACTTTGAATTAGCCACCGACTGGATATCATTTTCCCTTGAAAAGGAAGTCCAAAGTTCAACTTCTTTCCTAGTAATTAGTAATCTATGGATCTTATAGTCTAATACAACGTCCTCGTCTCCATACCACCATGTCTCAACATAACAACTCGCAATTCTCAACATCCCTGTCACTCCACTGTCACCACGTGGGATATCTCTGCAATCATTCAACACACAATCATTCTTCTCACGTAACACCCAATATATCTCACGACACACGTAACACCCAATATATCTATATCTTTAATGCGTCGAGAAGAAGGACAGGCGCCGCTGGCAAGGACCTCCAGTGTGAGCTCATGCGTTTCCTCTGGCCACACACCGCCGCAAGGATATCAGACACCTTTGGACGAGGACGACGACGAGCCGCCTCCGTTGACGCCACGGGCGGCATCCTTGTTACAAGCACCCACGCCGAATTCCGCCGTCATGACGGTCAGTCTCGAGGGCTACCTCGAGCCCACTCGTATCTCGTTCGGCTCGCCGCCCAGTAGCGAACTAAATCCCCGGGGACCGTCGCCAGACGAGACGTTCCCGGTGTTCTCGCCACCGCCGTACGATCGGGGCCCAACCGATCGATCCTTGGCATCCTCCACGAGACATCGGCGTCAGTCCAGCTTCATTGGGCCGCCGTGGATGAACGGGCTGCACACTCCGCGCCAATCCATCATCTCGACGAACTCTCGCTCCCCGTATTCGCATCACACGTGTAATCACTCATCACCAACATGATCCTCGTCGTCCGTACGCTACGGTGTCCTGTACATACGCTTCCTCACGCCTATGTATCTGAATCCTTCACGATATATCACTTTACATCGTTGTCCAATATTTGTCTCGTCTTCTTAGAAGCGATGGTGTCGTTGGCTGTTTTTTCTTGGATCGTGGAATATACTGTATGATACCTATGACCAAAGTTATGATGCGGGAGATATCTCTGTACATAAGCATTTGTATTAGTAGAGTGATTTGTTCGTGCATACTTGTAGGACGATCGATAGAAACGACGCAAAACGCTTTTGTTCCGTATATTTATATTGTCAGAATCTCTATTCTTTTATTTCTATTTCGCAATCATTCGCTTCTGCTCGTGATCATTCCATTATTCTTCATATATTTTTTCTTATTGTTATTATTCACACATTGCAAATATTATCATCTCATGTTTCCTGAATCTTAATATCTTCATAGATTAAATTCATGATGTAGCCAAAATCCCCAAAACATAAATGACATTTTCTTATAAATTCATTGATAGATTATTATCTCTCTCAATAATCCAGACAATGGTAAAATCGAACAATCCAGTCGCGAGCTATGTAATATAAGTGCAACGTGTAATATATCATATGCTCTATATCGATATTGCCATTTGTTTAGCTTGTGTCTTTATTTTATTTTTTATGTCTTTTTATTAGATGAACTCTATCCAAGAACACGGCCATTGTACAGAATTCGTTCGCCGAAGACGAATAAAGAGGGTAAATGTATATTTTTTACAGCTGCCTGGACATTACCCCAACAATCAATTTTCCTATGCTAATCCCAAATCTAAAAATTAGTTTAATTTGTATATAAAATATATACGATGTAATATAAAATTTTAGTTGTATACATACACATAGCTCCACAAAATAGATGTTATATCGATAAATTACATAGTTACTTATTGATCGATATGTATACATGTATATATTTGTGCATTTATAATAGTGGGGTCATATTCATGATTGTCTCTCTCAAAATTTCATAAAATAATCGAGAACTGCTCAAACCCTTTGCACTATTTTCTAACTATCATCACCGTGCATGGCTTTCTCTTATGTAGCATATAAAAGTTACGACATATTAAAAACTATATAAATAATTCTTTCACAACTAGCCATCAGATCAGGTGACTACTACATGTTTGACGATCTGGACGACGATGATGTCACCGATTTACTTCCCGAAAGCGAGAGTGAGAGGAAAGAGAAGAAACTTCCCCATGAGAAGGACCAATTGAGAAGGAGAATGACTGTCTCCGAGGTATGTAAAATCAAGAAACAAATGTCTTTCTTGAATCACTTATTATTGTGATTTTTCAAGGATATGAAATTTGAGTGTGACTATGTTATGAGATTTCTTGAATGAAAAGATTTCTTTTGTTAAGTTTTACTAATCCTCCCAATCAAGATACGGTTTACCGAGGCTGCCAAATAAGAAAAATCCAACTTTAATGATTCATGTATTCACCCGTGTACGTGCATCTTTTTTTACATTTATTATATTTATGCAGAAAGGGAGATTCTACTTAACAACAGGTCTACTAAAGGATATTTTGAAAGTTTCTCGAAAAGATACCTCGAGTAGACCACTATGAGCTCGACCGATTGATCTCTTCGTGTGATGATTGCAACCAAAATTTTTTTCATGCGTGCTGTTGAGACTGTCATGTCTTTTTTCGCTATCAAACCCTTCTTTTCTTCTCCTCTCCCTCTTTCTCTATGAGAAGAAGACGTACCTCTTCTGGTCAACGACGCACGAAATCGATCTACGGACGATGATTTGAGAAAACTGACGCGTAAGTCTCCTTGCAGTTGATGAGCACGCTGATTAAAACAGACATTGAGATTGCGACGCACGTCGCCATGTATGGAGGGACCGAAAAAGATGCCCTGAAACTTCGACGTAGGAGCGTACCTTTGACACGGAAGAAATCGTCCATGTCTTATCTGAGCGCGCGCTCCGAGACCGACACTGCCATGGCAACCGATGTGAGACATTCCTTTCCCTTTAAAAGGCTGCATGACATCGCTGCAGGCACTAATCAGCCTATACTCGTCACCTTTTACCCTTGTCTTTAACGTTGTCTCAGAAGAGCTATCCAGCAAACAGACGCCAAATATCTCTGTCGATATATAATATGCGGTTGACCCTTCTAATAAGGGAGATTCAATTTTAGGTCCTACAACGTTTTATTTATTTAGCGACAATTGAATTAGAAAATTCTCAATTCTTGATTGTAATTTTGCACTTATTTCGGCAAATGCTTTTTTGTTTTTCCTTTCGTTAGCTCCCTGTTAGGGATAAATCAACTGCAGATTACCTCATGTCAATATTATTATTCAGTTGTTCACTGTTGCTTTCTATGGAATGTCTTGTATGACTTTTATGTTATATTATTCTCCTTGTCGCACATATGTATTAATGTTTTCTCGATTCAGAAATATTGTTTATTGTTCGTCTTAACGATAAAGCTATCCATTTTATTTCCTATTTGCGTCTGAAATTTATAAAATGAAAACGTAAAATTATTGTATTTCTATTATTTCTTTCAATAACTCTATCTTTTTTCTCTGATCTTTTCAATATTATATTTTTTAAATATATAATATATATTTCTTAACATATAATATTTCCGATGTTTTTTACTTATATTTCATATATCTTTGTTAAATATAATGTAATATAACACATAACACGTAGTACAAAGCAACTATAACTGCAGCTCGTATTTCGACAGTAATAACATCTGGACTTTCTCATATTTATTACTACGCTTTTTTTCAATGATATTTTTTTCTTCTCTCTTTAACTTTCAGCTTCGTAGAAGCAGTGGTTGGAAGCAATTTTCTCTCGTCTTTATCACCTTTATATTGTTTAACGCCTCGTACTTAATTTCTATATTGTAGTCGCACAATTATGGTGAAGAACTCGTCGTATTGGTCTATGCAAATTTCGTACAAAGTACGAAATGTTTTTCGAAGTTCAGCTTACTTTTCTTCACATTTTTTTTATATCAATTGTAGTTCTTGTAATTACACGCTTATTGTATATAACAAAAAAAGTATATGTACTTAATTTCTAAGTACATACACATATATGTATACATATATATACATATATATAACGAATACTAAATAATTAATTGTAAACATTTAAATCTTGATTATGATTAAATACTGTCGACATAGATAATGCAAATAATTATTTCAAATGAAAATTATAAGATATTTTAAACAAATAATAAAATATTTTAAAACTGTATCAAGTAAAAAATTGCTTGAATTTAATAATACTTTAAAGATCTTAAAAGAATGTATAATTCTAAATTTGTACATAAATATAATGATTAATTGAATATTGCGCGATGCACTTTATATGCATCTTCGCATTTTTCTCGACAGATTTGATTATTTTCAAGCTCAGTAATAACAAGTAATAATTGAAACATTATGTCACACACACATATATATATATATATATATATATATATATATATATGTTTTTCTTACAATATATATAACTTAACTATAAAATTAATCAGGGCCCAGATCGGACAAGTCTCACCTCAGTGGAAATGGAAACGGAAGAAAAAGATATGTCAGGAGCAGACTCGGCTAAAACACCCGAACCTTCGGATATTGAAGAAGAAGAAAAAGAAGAGAAAGAAAAATCCCAAGACAAGAAAAGTGACGAAGAAAAAGGAGACCAGAAAAAAGTTTCAATCTTTACGTACCTCAAGTTTCTTTTGGCAGTGATCAACAGCACCCTAATTTCGATGACAAAGTATCTAAATCGATTTTCCCACGATTATAGATACATTCGCAAAGTTTTAATGAAAGAGAAGACAAATTTAAAGGTATAAATCATAATTTAGATAAATTTAGAAAAATACACGTATATACAATTAAAATCACGTAACAAGACTTTAATATTGATAATTACTGTGTTTAGGCAAAACCCGATTTTAGAATGGGATTACGATTAGGAATTAATCAAATGTGGCAGCCTTTGATGCAAGAACGGTAAGTTAATTCCCACAAATCATTATATATTATAAGATTAGAATGCATTATTTATTTATGAAGATTGAAGAACTCTGCATATTAGTTATTATTATAACAATTCTACAAAAAATTTTTATCTCTAGGAAATTTTATATTATGTTATTTAATCATAAAAAAACCGCTTTAACATGGATATTAATTAGTCTCACGCTGTTTCACTAGCTTCTCAAACGTTAGCTTGTAAATATGTAGTTGTATAAATTATCTATAATTATGTTACCGCTTTCTGCATAAATATTTGTGCAAACAGATATATTAAAATCAACTTTAATAAGACGCCGACTTCTTGTGAATATATTGCATAACGTAACATTTTTTATCTCAATTATATTCTTTTTCATCTTCTTAATTTTTATCTTCTTTACTGCACATAATATATTTATTATTAGAATTGAACTCCTAAAAATATTTCCTACTTATAAATGACTTGTCAAAGCTCTGTAATTATATAATAACAAATTTATCGTAAAATAGATAAGTTATGCGGTAAAGAGTTAATTCTGTGTTATTTCATGTTGCAAAGTATATTTCAAAATTAGTTGGCGTCAGAAAACACATATAGCTCGTGCTCCCCTTCTATATTCTCTCCATTAGATTATAAATTAGTAAAAAGTCTAGTACCGGTATTTAGAGAATATGTAAGTATAAGAAGCAGTGTATGCAGATTTAGTAATTTTAAAATGAAAAGAAAGAAAGTACGTAGGTGCTAGTAGTAAATGTGCTCGCTGTAACAGATCGACTGAAAATAACGGGGCGGAGGAAACGTACGATCCTGGCGAAGGTCCAAGCCAGCCACATCCACAAGAAAAAAGGTAAGAGCTTCCATTTCACTTTTGAAGAAAGCTCTAATATAGTTTACCATGCACTACTAGATATAAATGTTTTTTCTGTTGCAACAAATTAATGTTAATTCCAATGAAAAGTTCTCACGTTCTACACTCACATTCTACACTCACGTTCTATCTCTATAATTTCATTCCTACCTTATTAAATTATTTTTTTAGGCATATATATATATATATATATATATATATATATATATATATATATATATATATATATATATACACAAACTGCGTCACAACATGTACTAATTCATGCATAGATAGAACTCATTAAATTCACAAAAAAGCTTTTCATCATTTTGCAATCAATCACGTTAAATATTGAAATATTACGATACGACAGGATGAATTATGTAGAACAATTTGAAAAAACATATCTTTTCAGACTGCTCTATAGAACTTATTCTACCGTGCACGTGTGCTAAGATTCGCTAATTTTCTTTAATTAATATTTATCTCAACTATGAATATATTTCAATTATTGTCGTAGTCGATTACAAAATGGTAAAAAACTTTATGTTCGATTTGATGAACTCTATCTGTGCACACAAGCATATGTATTGTATCAGACATTTTGTATTATAAGAAAAGGAATATGTGTGCGTGTGTGCGTATCTGAATAATTTTATAATTGTTCTTAATAATTTTTTCAAACTGCTACGTTAGTGATAACTTTCCTTATTTTTAATAAGAAAGGCAATATATGACTCGCATTTCAAAATCGAAAGATTGAGCAAAATTTGAGGAATATTTCAAAATACTGTATTACGTTTAAATATCTCACGCGAACCAGAATGTTAATCTGCGACGAAAAAATCCGAGCCTTGTTGGGAATCACGAGAAATTATGTAGCATGCTATACACGTAATATCAAAAGTATAATAAGGGATTCATGAGTGATAGATCGAAACAACTGCCGTAAGTTCTACCCTTGCAATTTATTAAGACGAATAAATACAGATAATTGCGCGTATCTCTTGAATATATTCTGACTCAACATCTTCTATACATACTGTATTTATTTCTTTCTATTATTTCTACAAAATTTGTTGTTATTATCTTCTCCCTTCCCAGAAAAATACGCATGAGATTGATTAATCGATGTCGATATACTAATATCTCAATTAAAATTCCCCGTGCTCGAATTATACATGTACGAATTAAACATAGAAAGAGCGTGGTGTTGTTTGTGTCAGGAAAGGAAGCTCGCTGGCAGTGCCGCACATCCGAATCCTGGCGCCGAGTTTGGAGCGAGGATTGGACATGTCCTCCTCCAGGTACCGAAAGTGTGTCGTAAAACTCGGAAATCTGAATGCTCGGCTTGTTAACTATTTTGAATACACTACCCAGGCAGAATAGTACATCGAATCGACGTCGATTCGATGCGCTATTTCTACCTGGATATTTGCACGCCCGTTCACGCATGCGGCACTTTAATTACGCGATTTCTTAGCATTCTTAGCATTCAACTGCCTGCCATTCCTATTTTGCGTACTTTGTAACGAGCCCTATGAGCATTTGAAAAAAAAAGAAAAACAATCGCTCCAGACACGACGAGGATCATGCGACGGCCATAAAAATTGGCTTGCGATAAAAAATCTGCGAGTCCCATTGATTACTATGCACAGTGAACGGTAGAAACAAACGATGTCCACTGTGTGTAACGAATACGTTCTTAATACTTCAGTCGAATGTCTTCAGCTCATTTTCAGGTGTAACTTCGTGGCTCCTGAGCTGGGCTTTGAGTGTGCTTTCGATATCGATTTTACATAGAGGAAAGATGCATCTTTATATTAATTAATACACGTACATTTTTTAATTGTAATATTCAAAAATATTCTTATCGCACTCCTTTTTTCATCAGATCAGAATTGCGCTACAATATTTCTTCACGTATGAATTTTCGATTCAAGTTGTGCTTTGTAATTGTGCCAATTTTCTTTACAAACCCAGAAATTTATATCTTTCAAGTGATTCCTTTTATACATGTATGATCTATGTCACATGTAAAACAGATCATCTTTCTTCTGGAAATTTATGTTGGACGATTCATTCGGCTACAAAGTATAATTAACTTGTATTTTACGTACGTAGCACACTTTTCTCGCAAGCTTTGCCAGCCCCGTGTGACGAAGAGATGAGGGAACTTTCAGAAGTGGATCAACCACCTATTATACAGCTGGCAGCATCCATTTGGTTCGCAATCTTGGCGCACTCCAATCTGCTCTGTTACTTTATGGTATTTCTTCATCAAATTATGCACGCGTCCGTACTCTCGACGCCATTGCCACTTATGGTATTTTTATGGGGCTCCTTGACGATCCCGCGACCCTCCAAAACTTTCTGGGTCACTTTGATCGCATATATCGAGGTGAGGAACACATCTCGTAATCAGTGTCTCAATATTAAAACCAAGAATATAAAAATTATTATTTTCAGGCCACTGTAATAATAAAATGTCTTTTCCAATTTAAATTTATGCCTTGGAATCTAAAAGCTCAACCGAATTATCCGCTATTTTTGCCGAGGATTATGGGTATTCAACAAAAATCTAATTATGCTCTTGGGGATTTATTACTGCTCCTCATATTGTTCTTCCACAGGTATAAACAGGAATACAAAAAATAAATATAATAAAACATATTAAGGGTACTTCCTAAGGAATAATGTCATACGATTTTTATATGTAGATTTATGTTAAAATCCTTGGGTCAATGGACAAGTCCGTCCATAAAAACGAGAAAGATTATTCCTTCAAAATTAACTGTAATGCCATCAAAACCACCGCCTCCACACGAAGGGCAAGGAGAACATGATAATGCTGTTTCCATACAGCAATATCAGCAACCTGAAGCTGAGCATGTCGGAGCTGAGTATGTTGCAATCGTCATAAAAAAATAATTAATATTTTATACGTTTCAATTTGCACTTGTAAATATATAAAACTTGTTTTTCAATACGTAGATCTCATACAGAGATAAAGACACCTCAAGAACGATCATTAAGCGTTCATGCAGCAGGTGATGCGAATAGTACTCTGCCGACAACGAACGAAGACGAAAAGTTCGTAGCTGTACAAGGAGAAGAAGTGCATCCTCACACTGAATCGTTTTCTAAAGCGGTGGATATAACGTAAATAGCTGCTAATATGTTTTATCTAAACGAGTATATAATTTATTAAAAAGAGGTTCTGGTTTAGATAGCCAAAAAATGAGAAGTCACAAATTTTACGAATTTTGTTTATAAAGATGAATAAAAATATCAATATAAGATATCATACTGTTTACCATTATTTTAAGTATAAAAAAGTTATGAAAAGGGAAATTTCGTCCAAGTTTTTTGAACGCGATATTGTCGAACACATATAATTAGTGAGCAACAGCGAGCTTACAGCTCGTATAACAATCTGAAATGGAATAAGAGAAAATTTAAACACAAAAAATCTGGACGGAATATAAATCTTTTAAACATAATTTTTTTATACTTAAAACAATGTTAAATAGTATAGTCAAAACCTTATACTAATATCTTCATCCATTTCTTTGAGAAATATTCGTGAAAACCTCCTATTTTTCAGTTATTTAAACTAGAACCTCCCCTTAACTTGAGAGAAGAACATTTATACTCATTTCTAACATCTAATACAGATTACGATTGATAATATTGTGTATGACTCGTTAGAGAAATAATGTTTTAATATCTTGAAATCGTACTTTGACTCTCATTAAATCCAATTGTATTCTCTGATGTTGCAGCGTAACTAAATACAGCGAACCAGTGAAAAATTTCTTTGAGAGAATCATCAGTCCAGCCGGTAAGGAGAAAACAAATGTATACGCTTATATGTTTCTCTGTGACTTTTTCAACTTCCTCCTGCTCATCTTCGGATTCTCCGCTTTCGGGGTAAATATATTATTTAGCGAACTGTGCATAGCTATTTATATTCGTATATAATGTATCGATATTTTGTATTCTCTCATTTTAGACTCAACAAGGCGATGGCGGCGTAACAGCTTACTTGCAGGAAAATCGAGTTCCTATGCCCTTCCTATTGATGTTATTATTGCAATTTGCTCTGATAGTTATCGACAGGGCCCTTTATCTGAGAAAATCCATCGTGGGGAAATTAATTTTCCAATATTGTTTAGTGTTTGGCATTCATCTTTGGATGTTCTTTATTTTACCGAGCGTAACGGAAAGGTAAACATTTTTTTCATATTTGTTAATATTTGCATTACGTACATCATATATATACACATACATACATATTTCTGATTGCAGACAATTCAACGAGAATCTTCCGCCACAAATCTGGTATATGGTGAAATGCTTTTATCTTTTGCTGGCAGCTTATCAGTTACGACAAGGATATCCGACACGAATACTCGGTAACTTTTTATGCAAAACGTACAGCATCGTGAATTATGTCTTATTCAAAGGGTCAGTAAAACATTTATTACGGAACAACGTTTGTATTTTGATCTATGCTGACCTGACAGTTATTTTGTAGATTTATGCTGATCCCTTTCCTCTTTGAGCTTCGTGCAGTTATGGATTGGATTTGGACTGACACATCTATGAGTATAATGGATTGGTTTAAAATGGAGGATATCTTCGCTAGTATTTATCAAATTAAAGTAAGTTCTAAAAGAAAAGTGCAATACATTCTGTAACCTATTCTGTCTTAAGAATATGATATTTACTTGCAATTTTCATATAACATTCGCATAATGAAGTATTTTAACTAATTTCTTCGTACATAGAATTACCAAACAATGACATTATTTTCCAAATGTACAATAAGTAATAATTTTGAACTAATATTCCATAAAATATTTTAGTGCATGCGAGGCGTGGAGTCAGACTATCCCCAACCAAGAGGAGTAAAGAAGAAACAATTAAGCAAATACTTAGTCGGTGGAGGTGCTTTATTCGTCATAATTGGCTTAATTTGGTTTCCTCTGCTTCTTTTTGCGTTGGGTAGTACTGTCGGCGAATCGAACTTGCCTTACGACGTATCTATGAAAGTTCAAATCGGCCCGTACGAACCCATTTACTCTATGTCGGCACAGGGCAATTCCATCCGTGAATACACGCAAGCTCAATACAATGATCTTACAAATATCTACGCGAAGGAAAAATCGGCAGTCACTTTCTTCGAGAATTATGTCCACTCTGACGTAGCTGCAGTGAAATTCAGCGGTTTCTCCAAAAGATTTTGGAGTATCTCCCCACCTGATAGAGAAAGGTTTGTTCGAAAAAAAATTAAGTTTAAAAAAAATTAATTAATTCTAAAAATGTTTCCACCACAGTTGACTAATGGAATACTGTGATTATAGTCATGTTGATTTTTTTCTTAATATTATCTATCTCAGGATAAAATAAATAACATTAAACAATATTGATAGATCAGATTTCATGTTATGTGATATTATAAAGATGTTGATGTTGAAGATATATTCGTTATCATCATTTTTTTTTGTTAGATTGAAATCGGAATTGGCTTCTAATACTACGACAGTAATTGTACATGTTGAATGGACAGTTTCAAGAAGAACAGATGTGAAAGATGCTAGTGAAATCACTACGAGGGTTCGTGATATAAAACTGTTCCCTTACGTGAACGGAGAGTTCAATCCTGTCAGAAAGACGTTGGTAGATATGTTGAGCATGCAAGATTCTACCGTAACGAATGCTACTATACTATTGCAATACGCTTTCCCGAAATTCCTCAAAGTCACCGGTAGAACCATCTATTTTGTACCGCAATTAATGTGGTCGCCACTTTTACGTGAGTGAACACGCAACTAAATTCTATTGAAATAATGGGATTTAAAAAGATCAAATTATTATTTATAACGTGCTTCTAGCGCCGAGAGAAGATGACAGCGACGACTACCTCTTTAGAAACATCAGCGTTCAATTATCTATGGATAAGCAGTGTTGCGCTCATCAACAATGGTGGGTAGTGAAGGAGGAATGCAACGACCTTTTATACAAAGTTCGTTTGAGCAAAGTGCCTCTAAATGATTGCAAAGACATCATGATGTTCTTATTCAACGACAAAACTTTCCCCGAGGGTTTAAGCTTCATCAGTGGATTCGGGTAAGTTCGATGATACAATAGAGATGATCTCAGTAAACAAAGAATATTTCCTTAATCATCTTGAAACATTTGATTTCATGTGTATCTCTTGAATGTTTTCGCTTGATATTTTAAAAATATTTCAAAGATATTGCCAAATAATATGATCTATTTGAATATTGAAAAAATGTTTTAAAAATATTGAAGTGCCGAAAATAATTAATAATAATGTTGATATAACGTTAAAAACTACATATTAAATAACATTATATGCTATTTAATATCGTTGCAAATAATGTCCTGTCAACGATTTTTTGCTTACTGAAGATCTTGTACAGTTCCACGAATAACTATGACAAATTTGCGAAAACATTTTTGTGATTCGTCGACTGAAACTCATACGATCGGAAACAGAATTCTAGGATTATATACCACGGCAGTGATAGTAATCAGTCAGATGATGCGGAAGATCGTTAGTGACATGGCACCAAAGATCATGTTCGATGATTTGCCCTACGTCGATAGAATCCTTCGCCTCTGTTTAGATGTTTATCTGGTCCGTGAGAGTGGCGACTTATGTCTCGAAGAAGATTTATTTGCCAAATTAATCTTCCTCTACAGATCTCCAGAAACATTAATCAGGTTAGACCGTTGCTCTTATTACTTGCAAATTAGAAATATCGTTAAAATATTGCTGCATATAAGAAATCATTATATTAGGTGGACGAGACCACCCGAAGAAGGGGAACAAACTGATAACGATGAACAAGATGAAGAAGAAGAAGAGAGACAAAGGGAGGAAAGGAGAAGAGAAGAACAATCTGGTCGCGATTGAAAAAAGAATGAAGGCTTCTAGATAATAAGTATTTCGCAATCTGTATAAATATTTGTAGGAATTCTAAAAGCTATTTAACTATCTTTATTAAAATGCATTCTTGAAAAATACAATGGAACAATTAGTCTGTTCAAGATTAAGTTGCCAAAGATGCTTAATATTTCTTTAAAGTTGAGAGGGAGAATGAAAAAAATCATTTTTAGATTTATATTAAATATTTACGATGTTCACGCATGTTCGCATTTTTTTCACAAACATTAGTCGTTTTCTACTAAGAGAGCAATTCTTAAATTTTTTGTGCAAATTTTAAGAAAAGCTCAATTATATATACACACATACATATATATACATATGTATGTGTATTTATGTTTTTATGTATATATGAATGTGTATATATATATATATATATATATATATATATATACATACAATAAAATTTAGAGGTATTAACTGACAGGCTTAAAGTTTATAATCATAAATTTTACAAAATTTGGTATTATTATTAATATTTATAAGAACATACACAATTATGCCAGAATCGTAGATGGGATACTTTTCCAAGATTAATTATTCTTTAATCTCAATTTATTTTTATGAAAAAAGTTATTCCATCTGCAATTGTATAAATACTGCTACACTCTCTGTACAATATGACATATGCGAGAAAAGATATTTTTCCTCGTAATATAATTTATGACTTTGTCTCAATAATATAAGTAATATTATAAAAAAAGTCTACAAATAAAAGTCTACATAAATTTTTAAATTTGAAGATTAAAATAATTTACCAAACATTATGACGTCTTAAAGGGATGCCAAAGTGGATGACAAGCTCCGATAAAAAAAAATGTCTTCACGATAAATAGAACTAAAAATGTCGACAATATTATTATCTATTACCGACATTATCGATTTTATATCCTTGTATTTTATATACATGCGAAAATAACTTATATAATAAGAATTGCTAAAAAAAATAGGTTTTCCACTTTTGTCACATATTATGCAATGCAATTTCATATGAAATTTTATCGGCACGCGACCATTGAATCCGCGATGGTAGCGAACGTTACAAACCCGTACGACACAGGCTGTATTCCGATATTCACTGCCAGTGCTGAAAATCTATAATTTATGTTACGTATACTATAGATTTTTTTTTCAGTACTGAAAGTGAGTATCGGAACGCAGTCACAATCTTTCGAGCGGTCCCGCACTGTGCTATTTTCTCAACGTTTTAAAAGAAACGACTAAGACTCAGTTGCACTAACTAAATAATAAGTTCACTAATTAATGCCCATTTCTACTAACTTTAATTAATTTAACCGACTGATTATTTCAACGAAATTGACCAATCGTATTTCTCATTAATTATAATTAACAGATGCGATTGGTTAATTCCGTTGAAATAATCAGTAAGTTAACTAAAGTTAGTAGAAACATACATAACTTAATGGCAAGTTAACTAACAATTCAAACATTCTTAGATAAAAAGAATGTTGGACATAGCATAGAAACAATTAATGTATACTTTGTAATGCTATTGTAACAGCACAACGTGTTTAAAATATGTTTCAAGAAATATTAATTTGTTATATCATAATTTTAGTCAAAATATTTACTTATTATTACTACAATAATTAATTCTGAATTAATTACGTTTACTTTCCAACAATCTCAGCAATTTTCATGACATCAGAATATTGCTACAATATTGCCGAAATTCTCATGGCAATAAATTCTTTTATATAAGATATCTGACGATAAATGTTTCATGCTCTTGTATATATAGATTAAGTTTAACTTAACACAAGATTACAAGATTTACAAGATTCCTCTTTACTTTTACAAACAACCACGTAAAATTTTAAGTTGTTAATTAAAAAAGATTGTCAAATGTTTACGTACGATAAGTTATGATAGAAAGGACTGCCGTTGTGAACTTATAGATCAAATCAAATCAACAAAAAATCCTTTGCAAACAACCACATAGATTTTTAGTTACTAATTAAAAAACATTGATGCATTATTGCGTTCGATTATCCGCTACAATATATTTTAATTAATAACTAAAAATAATTTTTCTTTTAAAATAAAAACTGACACATTTTAATTGTCAATTAGCTTACCATTTATTTGGTACGACCGAGCCTAAAAACGTCTTATGAAGTTGTCAAACTAACAGACAAAATATGTTCGTTTCGTTGGGCTAACTATAAACGTTGACATGACCGCTTTTAGGCTTCTTCGTGTTACATCGATGAAAACATTACAACATAGTACCATTACAATTTAATATTTCTATAAACATATCTTTCGCAAGATGAAAACACATATGTTCGTACATTTAAATGATTAATTTCTCTTATACATACCTTAACAAAAGAAAGATTTTTATAAGTACCGTAAATGGTATCTATACAACGTGAGTCATTATCAAATAAATATTATCTGACAAGAAGGATTAAACCAAACAAGTATTATTGAAACGTAAGTTATTATCACAATACAATATAAAAATAACGTTACGTTGGCTGGTTGAACGTTTGATCTCAATGATGGCGCGCGCGCGCTTACACATACGCGCGCGATGATGGCATCGTAACGAATCGTAATCGTGGTTCCGTTGGCCACCGCTGGTCGGGGTCGACGTCATCAGTGATCATCGTCAACACAACGCCAGTCCAGTAGCGATCGTCCGCAATTATCGCGCGTACGTACGTCAGAAGAGCGAAGGTGCACGCGGTCGTTGCGAAGTGGTCGATGCTGAGTTGGCAGTCTTGACGACGACCACGAGATCCCTCTCGTTAGCTGTCGTCGTTGATTTGCATGCGCATACGTACAGCACGTTCGCGAAAATCGCAGCGCGCGCGAGCCCGCCGGATAATGTTACGAATGAATGTACTTAAACGCTTTACTTAAGTCAGGAAAGAAACACGCAGCAATACTTAAATGAGCGATGAGCGGACAGAAGTTTCAGTATGACGAGAGCGGAGGGACATTCTTTTACTTTCTGCTATCATTTTTGGCGTTACTGTTGATACCCGGGACCTACTACCTCTGGCCGCGTCAGCCGAAGCAAGGTTAGATGTGTTTCTTGATATGTCCAAGTGTTCACTTATTAGCGATTGGGTTGAAGGATTCTTTCTGTTCCTTTTCTAGCACATGATATTTCGTTAACACAAATATTTTATAAACAAAGATAAATATAAGATATGTTGATAAAATAATAAAGATGTAAATTGGAAAAACAACTGAATATATATATGTATGTATATTAATAATTTTTGTAATTTTTTTCCAGATCCTGGTCAGTTAGCCAAAGAATGCCAGTGCGATGGGTGCAAAAAGAAAAAACTTATTCTTCAATCGAATAAACCTTGGAAAGAAACTAAGGCTTTGTTTATGTAAGTTGATATATCATAACTGTATATTATAAATACTTACACAAATTACTGCACTTTTACACATATATAGTAATGAATTCTATTTATGTCATATTATTAAGTCTTTTTTTCGTATAATTAAAACTGTTACTATTACAGAAAATTTCTGATTATTATGGGATGGGTTATACTCATACTTTTAACATATAAAGTCTCGCAGTTTGATTATGAAATGGCCAATTTTGATCCATTTGAAATACTAAAAATTCCACCTGTGAGTATATGAGATAGATTTTTTTATAGATAATAGCTTATAGAATATATAATAAGTAAAGTTTAATTATAGAGTTCTTCACAAAGTGAAATTAAAAAAGCTTATCGCAAACTCTCATTAATTCTTCATCCCGATAAAGAAACCGGAGATGAAAAAGCATTTATGAAATTAACTAAAGGTAAGATATGTTGTATATAAGGGGAATTTATATATATATATATATAAAACTAAGCAATACAATTATCAAGCATATTTTTGTAGTATGTTTAATAAACTTATTGCACAACCAGTAATGCAATATATAAGAATGATAATCAGAAACCATTTTAAATAGCTATATTTGAGATTAATTTAATGATCGTGAAAAACTAAGTATTTTAAATTATTAATTTTTGGAAGTTGTTATACTGAATCTAGATTAGCATCACTAATATTTGAATTTTAATATATGCTAACCATTTGTATTAACAAAACTAGCTTACCAAGCTTTGACGGATGATGAAGCACGGAAAAACTGGGAAAAATATGGAAATCCAGATGGTCCAGGAGCAATGAGTTTTGGTATAGCATTACCTTCTTGGATTGTTGAGAAAGAAAACTCGCTATGGGTCTTAGGATTATATGGATTAGTGTTCATGGTTGCTTTACCAACAGTTGTAGGAATGTGGTGGTACAAAAGTATTCGCTACACGGGTGACCAAGTAATTTGCATTTCTAAAAAGCTTTTGTAGACAATCTGTCGTGTAATAATTTTAGTTTTAGACAATTGCTAGTTAACTATATATTATAATTATAAATAGAATAGATGTAATTCTTTTGCTATATATATTATAGTTATAAGTAATATTATATACATATAAGACTAGCAATTCACTATGCATATAAACAAATTTTTTTAAAGGAATTAATACATATAAATAATTATTAATGTTTATTTTTAGATTCTTCTAACAACCACTGAAATGTATTACTTTTTCTTCGTGAAAACACCGTCTATGACGTTAAAAAGAGTCATTATGATTCTTGCTGCTTCCTTTGAATTCTTCAAGAAACGCAATGCAGAAGTAATTGAAAGAGACACTGATAATGAAGAGATTCCTTCAGTAAATATAATTTTTATTTGATGTTTTAATTTTTTATTTTCTAGAGACTAATAGTATTGGAATATTTCATATATACATTTGCATTCTCATGTTACAGCTCATCAAACAGTTACCTAACCTAGGAGAAAAGAACAAAGAAATACCATTATGCAATATGTATTCAATTAAAGCTAGAGCCTTATTACATGCGCACTTATCGCGTATATCACTCAATCCTGAGACATTAGATAAGGACAGGCAATATATTGTAAAAAAATGCCCATATTTAATCCAGGAAATGGTCGGATGCATTCATCAAGTCATACTTTTAGCTTATGCTAGAAGAGGTAAGCATTTGGTGACTTCCTTTTCAATAGCATATGTAACTTTTCAGTATAGAAAATAATTGATGAAAATCGTTTTTATAGTACCACGGGTACCAACCATAACAACTATAGAGAACTGCATGAAACTGTGTCCAATGATTGTTCAAGGATTCTGGGAGTTTAAAAACCCTCTCCTTCAATTACCACACATAACTGAAGATAATCTAAGATACTTCCTCGCAAAGAAGGTATTAATAAAGTTATAGAAAATTTTCTATTCCCATTAATAATATTTTTATTTTTGCTGATGAAAATAACTCTATACTTAAGAGTGATTTTTTTCTTTTAGCGTCAAATCAAAAGTCTTCAGCAATTCGCACAACTGAAAGGAGAAGAACGAAGACTGATACTTAGAAATCTGTCGGACAACCAATATGAGGACGTTATAAAAGTTCTCGGAAATATGCCGTACATAGATTTCAAAGTACGATCCGAAGGTAATTTATTATTTCTATCAGTTCTTTGTATCGTAAATATTACGTATTGTACATTTATAGATTTTTATACATATTTTTATTTTTTTATACAAAATTTTCATTTTTACTTATATAATATATTAATAATAATCTTTTCAGTAATCGACGATGAAAATCCTACCGTCTATACTGCTGGTGCTATTGTAACTGTAACGGTGTCACTAACGCGGAAAGATATGAAGCATCTTTTTGGAGATGATTCTGTCAACGAGCAAACAATGATCGATGATAACAAAATAAGTGGAGAAATGATCGACGAAATGTCGGAGGAGCAAAATCAATCTGCGAAAGCTGCGAAGCCAGCGTGGCTTAAGAAAAAGAAAGGTCAAAAGAAGTCTCACAAAAAAAGTATCAATAAGAAGGCAGCTCCAACTAAAAATATTCAAACCCCGTCCCAAACTGTGGCCAACAATACCCAGCACACAGGTAATACTCTCAATGCGAAAAAGAAGGACGATAAGTCGGAGAAAGAGTCTTCCAAAGAGAAGTTGTCTGATGTAAGTGACAGCGAAATCGAAAGTGACAGGAGTGACGACGAAGATAGTCACGATAAAAAGGATATATCTCTCGACGACGATGATACAGAATGGGAAAAGTAAGTGAACATGTAATTGTTTACTATCGTTCTCTCATTCATGTACGACTGTTTGGGGTTGACATTGCTCTTTTTTTTTTTTTTTTTAATAGGTTCCAACAGAAAATTAGCAAGCGGGAAAGAGTATTGGAAGGCAGGAGCAATTTATCACACGAAGTGCACTGTCCGCTCTTTCCCGACGTTAAGCAAGAATATTGGTGGGTCTATATCTGTGATCGAAAAAGTCAAACGCTGTTGACAACCCCTGTGCACGTCACGTCTTTAGTGGAATTCGAAGAGATTCAGTTAAAATTTACAGCACCACGCTGGCCGGGCCTTTATACATTTACTGTGTGTTTACGTAGCGACTCGTATCTTGGCTTCGACCAAGCTCAAGATATCAAGGTGAGTTAAAATCCAGAAATCCTCTCGTTTTTTACATAAATTTATCTCAAGAAAAATATAGTTCAACGTATTTATACAATACAACGTGATAACATCTTGTTTTATAGTTGGACGTGAAAAAAGCACCAGAAGTACCAACGGAACATCCGCAGTGGGACATCTCGGATGAGGAAACCGCGGAAGATGTAGATGCAGCCGATGAACATTCCGAGTTCACAACCGACGAAGACATTAGTGACAATGAATAATATCTGTTTCTCACATGTGATCGGATAGATGTTCTAAAAGACCGCATTTCCCTCTTTTTTTACTTCTCAAGTTAATAATGTACAATGGATTTTTATACATGGAATTGTATAATCGTTGATGTACGTGGACAATCTAGACAAATAGTCCGGTGTGTAAGATTTTTCAGTGTGGAGAAAGTATAATAGCGAATAAAGAACATAATATTTATTTTAACATCGTTGTTCGCGATCCTCAATTTAGGATGTGTATACACAGTTTTCTAATAAAATATTATCTTATTATATAAAACATAACATTTTTCTATACTTTGTACATCTCATTAAAATTGTTAATAGAGTGTTTCCTTTGTAATTCATTTATTTGTATGTATAATAAGTAAGATCTAGGTCGTAAGTGAAAGTATAGTAAAAAAGTATTGTCACGCACTGTAGGATTCACTCGACCGTTTCGCTTCTTACTACGCACGCTGCAAACTTAAATAGTTCGTTGATCCATTCTAAGATAGTCTAACAAAATATCAATAGACAGACGGATGTCTGGTACGCGTCTTTAAAACAAATCTGTCTTGTATATTTAACTTGTACTTATAATTTTTCGTTTTTACTCATCTTCTGCTTCAAAAATACTTATATTATTTTAATCACTGTGCATCCAATCTATTGCAGCTGAAAAGAACAAATCTAATGAGAACGATGAAGATAATATTTTACGCAGCGCGAGTAAGTACGTCATATTTTCAGTATAATATTAAATATTCATTATACAATCGTTTCAGGTATTTAAAAACTATTTCATCCTCTATCTTTTTTTAAATATCACAATTATTGCTGCAGTTGAGGAGGGTAAGTTATTATGCGAAAAGAAATTATTAGAGTAAAAAAAAGAGTTAATAGTTATGATTAAATATAATCTATTTAATTAATTTTTAAAATAAAAACTATATAAAGATATATTCTTATATACGAAAATACATATTTTCCTTAATAATTATATATATATATATATATATATATATATATATATATATATATATATATAT